AGTTCAAAATATTATTTTTAGAACATTTCGCTATATTATATTAAGAGAAATAATCTGCTCTAAATTTTGAATGTATTTCTCATCCTTTTAATAGTAAAAATTATTTTAAATTGAAAAAAAAAAAAATATTTTGGTGAAAAACACCCATTTGATTATTCTCTTGCCCAAATTTGTATTAAAATCACATAAAATTTCAGAAAATATTTACATTATGATGATAATTTACTTACATTTTAGTTTTTTTAACTCCACATATAAAGAGAATTTTGGCATAGCAAAAAAATAAAAAAATTTAAAACTCATATAACTAAAAATTAAAATAGAAAAAATATTTTGTTTTTCTTCAATTACAAATTTTACATTTATTTAAAAACGGTTAAGTATACAAACATGATATTTTTTATTTTTTTTTTATATTTTAATTCACTAATATTACATCAATTGAAAATTCTTGGGAAAGAAAAATTTTTATAAAAATTCAATTACATTCATATACACCCATACATAATATTTTATTATATCAATAACTGTTAAATACATTTATAAAAACAATAGAGATCATTATACATTTAGTCGTTTGTGAGTGTGTGTTTTGTAATATATTTCCTTTTTTTTTTTAATATTGTAAAAAATATTTTCAAAAAATTGTTTGAACATACATCATTTCTTTTTTTTTTTTCATTTTATAAAATCAGTAATCATTTTAAATAAATGCTGTTAGAATCACACTTTATTCAAAAATAAAATTAATATTTTTTTTTTTTTTTTTTTGGTTATATAAATATTAAATATTTTAATCATTTTGAAAGGATTATTTCAAAATGATACACAGTAAACATTTAAATTGATGACATTTAAGGACCATTGTTGTGTACAAAAGCACAAGTAACTAATTATCTCAGCATTTTTGCATAAAATAATTTGGCATCGTCTGTAAATAGATAACAATAAAAAAATGAATATATATTAATGTCAACATCTTAAAAATTCGTAAAACACAATGTATTGTTAATTTAAAAAAAAACTCCGCAAAATTATAATAATAGGTTTAACACTTTTACAAATCGCCTAATTATTTTGGATACTCGTGACATGAATTTATTTAACATATTACAATGAAACATTAACAAACATACATATGTATTTTGTTAACGAACAATATGGAAATTTATTTTCCAAGTATTTAAATAAAAATGGAAAAAATTTGTATACCTATAAAGGATATGAACAGCTTTATCACAAAGAAACTTAAAATTAAATACTTTTAGAAGAAACTAATACTAATATTTTTATTAATATGCTGTAGAAATGCCTGGAAGAAATTTTAGACAAAAAAATGTGTGTACACGAACGAAGAGTAAAGTAAATGTAATAATAGATGCACTCGATAATATCAAATGGCGGTGGATAACAATTGCATCTGACCGTCCCCATCTGGCAATTAACAATTTATGCCAAAAAATAACAACTTTTATGCATAATTTTTGCATAAAACCGGTTCATAACTGCTTTATTAACAAATTAATATCGATAATTTGAATTTGGTATTTTATTTAAACGCTATTAAATAAAATTATTTTATCCTCTTCAAAAATTTCCATTTTGCACGAAGAATAAAATCAACAGTTGAATTTTTTTTATTGGCAATGCGGTATTTGTTTCTTCCATTATTGGTTACATTACCAATGTAAACATCTGTTTAAAAATTAATTTGCTTTCGTTAACAGCAGTATATCGATTAAGATGCAAAAGAAGTCAAAGCGCATTTTACATTTTCAATTAAACATATAAATTGCCTTATTGACTAAACGGTCAAAAAATGGTTTTAATTTGGCAATACCTTGCATTGAAAGCTATAAAATTAGTTAGCATCCACCCGCAAAACTTCTTTTTAAGATTTATAGTATAATCGGACAAGTTCTTAGACTACAAACCCACTTGGTGAACTTTGACAAAAAATGCCAGACTAATCAAAATCAAAAACGAAAATTAATGAGTAAAATATTAAATATAAAAATCGCTATATCTATATTATATATGTATGTATATATTTTATTAATATGAAACTAATCAATTTTGTAGAATTGATATATGTATATGTAGTTTACACAATTTAATAACCTAAATTGACTCAACTTTTATAGCTCCGAATTATTATACATACATATGTATTCATATTTAGACTTTTTTTTTGTTGTTCATCTGCTTGCGTAAATTTTAATATGTATTTGGACAGAAAAGTTAGCATATTAATAAATTTTAAAAATTAAATCAAAAATATTATTATTATTTGTTTCTAAAGACAAAATAAAATAATAAATTATTTATTAGTAATCGTACATAACATACATATATAATAAAATTCAATAAATGAATAAAAAAAAATCAAATACAAGTTCAAAGTATTTTATCAACCTCTGCTCAATGTCAGGGACATTTTATTTGAAAAATTCTAATAAATTGCTAATTGCTTAAAATATTTAGTTAAGTTGCTCAACTCATCCGTAAAACTTATAACAAATATAAGGGAAGATGCATAATCAGAATAACATGGAATAAAAATGAAATTATGAAAAAAATAATAAATAAATTTTATTTCTTCAAATATCGTTAACCCTTTCGGAACAACTTTTGCTAATTAATGCTTTTAAATAAATAGAATTGATAAAATCAAAATAATACTTTCATAAATTTTAAATTTTGGAGGTACATCCTGAAAATTTTCCGTACCGAACTTTACCTTTGCAATATGAATATGTGTAATCTCAGAGAGTATGTATTATATGTAAATGCATTGTAGACCAAATCAAGTAAAAATTAACTATAATATTTGTATACATAAATAAATTATGGCGTAGATGTTAAGAAAGTCTAATCTCTTATCTGTGTAAAAGGAAAAATAAATGTTATGTAAAGGAATTGCATAATATATCATGAATAAAAGAAAAAGATCGTAAAAATGTGATAGGTATTTCGTTTTCCAAAAGGTGAAATATGTAATTAGCCGGAGCAGTGCCTTTTAGATACTTTGTTTACAAAAAGGATCTTGAATGACCACCTTCTTGCATGTTATCGGTATTCAATTTACGTAGGTCTATAATTTGGCTTAAATTTGTTTGGACAGTCCTTATTTGTGCAAGTTACATCCAGATAATAAATAAGTACATATTTTGATAAGAAAACTTAAAAATCAAAAAGCATGTTATTTTGTCGTAGCTTGTTATATTGTCCTATTTCTACTAGTTCTTCATTTAAAGTGTTATATATCCACAAACATACATATGAGCACGTACTCTAAAAACAGCCAATGTTCTTTTTTTAAAGTAAGTACATAGGTGCATACATATATACATATATGTACATATGTAGGCATTACACATCAGTGAGTTTTTTAATTTTTCATTTTAGAAACCACTAAAATCTGCTTTAAAAACAAGTAACACTGTTTTAGAATGTTCGAGTAAATTTGATTTTTCAATTTCTTCATGTTTATTTATATTTTAGATATTATTTTACCAAACAAATTTTTTTGCAATTCATTGATTTTTCTTATGGAACACGAATCGAAAAATGTTATTGTGTATGTATGTATTTATAATTTTATGTTGTAAACATACTTACAAAATTGAAGGATTTACCTTGTTTTAAGATTGTTTTTCCTTCACATTGCTCACAATAAAGCATTTATAAATTAATGTAAATATAAGCAAAAAAACTGTGACGAACCAAAGATAAAATAATCCAGGAAGATCGCCAAATACTATAAAAAGTTTTTCATAAGCCACTTCAAGGATTTCTCTAAATGAGTTTGATTGATTTTGACCTCCACAGCAATTTTCCATTGTTATATATGTTTTTTTTTTCTTTGTCACTATGATCTACTCTTCACATTTGGTATAAAAAATGCAATGATAAAATCAGTTTTTGATATTTTAAAAATAGTTATTTCTGAAAGAAAAAAAATTTCTGAGATGTAAACAATCTTGTAAACACCAATATTCTTGTTCTTCTTATTTTGACATATGCAACATAACCGTCAATTAAAATATGAAAACAAGGGCTGTGTAAAACTCAAAATTCAATAATCTTATCTTACGCAAATTTCACTTTCCTTTAAAAATTATCATCACAAGCGCTTACGTTAGTAAATTAGCAAACGTAATGATTTTTGAAACTGTGTTGAGAGATGGTAAAAAATAGTGAAAAGGCCAAATTTTCCATTTTTTTTTACTTGTTATGAATGTGAATTTTTTATCTTTTATACATTGCTTACATATGCGCTAATAAATTTATCAAAAAATTTATTTTCTAATGCACGTTTTCTTAGTTATATTCGACATTGCAGCCTAATCATGTATGTACATACATATCTCGCTTTTATACATTTTAGAAAAAAAAGCAGGATACGCAATACGGAATAATTCTCACTCGAAAATTACATTATACAAATATAAGATGGTTACTTACTTTCTTATAACTTGCCGAGGAAATTAGCGAGATAGACGATCAGACCCCATATACATACATATGTATCTGTTCATATTTTAAATTTGGATGCAAAACATTTACATTTTATTTGTAATGTTAACTTTGAAGAAAACAATTTCCTCAATATATTCCCAAAATATGCCTCAAGAATATTCACGCCAATCAATCTAAAAGATTTAGCATATATATAAAGAATCTATTGCAGATCCTTAGTAAATTTCAAATTTAATTAAATTAAAATCAGCATACGTATATGTATAGTAATCAAATCAATAAATTCATTAGATTACTTAACACAGAAGGAAGAACCTTTGATCTAAGTATATACATATTATGCAAATCCATAAACGTAATTTTAATATTTTATTTACTTTAGTGCTTCATGAAATCAATAACAAAATTCAGGCATTAGAAAAGAAAAACTATCTTAAATTGGTCATTTCCATGAAGCATCTTCCTCACAATCAAATTTAATGCCTTCGCCTATAAAACAACCAACGAACTTAAATTCATAGATTTTGTTTTTATTTTGTTTTTTATTCTTTTTTTTTACATTTTACATTAATTTTTCTTTTTTTTTTACATTTTACATTAATTTTTCTTTTTTTTTATGATGAGTGATGATGATGATGATTTAAATTTAAAATGAGGAATACATAAAACAAAACTCTGTATAGGTATATACATCCACACATATGGATGCAATTTAATCATTAATTGGATCTAAAAAGATTTTTACTTTAGGTATGAATGTAAAGTAGTAATTCATTTTAATTTCTATATTGGGAATTTAAGCACAAATTATACCTTTTAGTACCTACAAACTTCGTTTTGTTTTAAGTAGTTTTCTTTTCGTTTGTTGTATACTTTGCATTTATTTTTCCGATGATATATTATATTTTGCCTTCAAATTATTTAGTTCTTCTTGCTTTTTATCGACATCCAATTTTTTGAAAGCTTTGTTAGATTGATAATAAAGGACTACTAAATATCTATTACAAACGTTAAAACCAGACAGATGATCACAAGCATTTTTAGCATCAAAAATGTCTTCATATACTACAAAAGCTGTGCCTCTGGTTTCTGGTGTATTCCCTCTGTAATTGGAAAACCAAATAAAATTAAAAATACATATTATTTAATTTGAACATTACACTCTTATTTGTCTAATTGCCCCAAATTTCCCAAATATATCATACATTTCATCAGACGTAATTTTGTATGGCAAATTCCTAACGTAAAGAACACGGTTGACTTCAGGTGGGAGACGAATCTAAAATGAATGAATTTTAGAACATTACACCGGTTCAATTAAAAACTAATTTCTTACATTTGCTCTTTTGGCTAACGACAAAGCCATATTTTAAGAGAATTGTGCCTTTTTAAGAAAAACTACCGCAAGTGATAATTGTGTCTTTAAAATCAATAAGCAATACTCTTTTCCTTTTGTTCGAATATCAGCATTAAATTAAATTATAAAAAAACGCTAGTCTTTTGTTTAATGTTTATTGTGACTGTCTAGTCTGATCTTGGTTATTGAACTGTCATTTCAGTATACACAAAATATGTGTTGCCGTATCAGCATAATTAGAGTACCTCTAAAACAACAAGGCTGGCACTCCTTGTTTGCCGATTTGAGTGATGGTCGTTTTTGACAGCTCAATAGCCAATCAGATCAGTTCCAATCCAAAAGGTTGAAGTACCCAAATATTACAAATAGTTTAAAAATGATTTCTTTTTAACAAAAGTTTTGCATTTTAAAATTATTTAAAATAATTGTGTATAAACAAGTTAAATTAATAGAAATAAAAAGTATAAAAGCAATTTTTTTAAATGATAGTTTTTATTTTCCTTTTTTTGGCGAATTTACTACAAAACGACAATATTTATGTATATGTATATGAAAAGGCTACAAAGATGAGATATTTTTTTAACAAAATTATTAAAAAGTTAATGTATTTTTATGCATATACAAACAATTTAAATATACAAGAATGTAATAATTGACACATATTCATAATCATTTCCATTTAATATTTTGATGACTAAAGTTTTGTACAGATTTTATAAAATTTCTTGCAAACAGGGTTGTGTGTGGAATAATCTGTTCACTGATGTCGCATGTATAAAAGAAGAATAATCATAAATTTAAGAAAAGGGCTTTTGTTTCTGCTGATTCTAGTGAGAAGGCAGCACTTTTTAGTTTGAGGAACATTAAACATTTGACAATAACATTATTGAATTGACAATGGGCGAGTTGCGTAAATAAACAAAGAATTTTTAATTTCGCTAAACAATTAATAAATGAATAAATCGAGATAGTTTTGGTAAAAAAATTATTTATTTTTACGTACATATAACTACAAATAAACTTATTGAGCTAAGGATAGAAATATAAAATAATTTTTAAAATGTCTGCGAGAAACCCTACAACATTGATGGCAGTAAATGATGAACAATTTGATTTTTTATTTAAAGTAAATAAAACTTGCAGAAAAATAATTTAATTTTATTTATTGAACTCTACTCAATATAATATATTCAGGTTGTATTAATTGGTGATTGTGGGACTGGGAAAACCTGCATTGTTCAAAGATTTAAAACTGGAAATTTCATTGACAGCCACGGAAATACTATTGGTGTTGACTTTTCTATGAAAACAATATCTGTAGAAGGAAAACAGGTCAAGGTATTTTGAATTATATGTCACATAACGAATAACATTGATAACAAAAATCGTTCCCATTATTCTCTTAGTTACAAATTTGGGATACAGCCGGTCAAGAACGATTTCGAACGATTACGCAAAGTTATTATCGTTCTGCAAATGGGGTTATTATTGGTACTAAAATATGTGATATTTAATTTTTTATGTTTGCATTTAAAATTTACAATTATTTATTATTTTTACAGTTATATATTAATCTAATATTTTATATTTTTAAAATACATTTTAGTATATGACATCACAAAACGGGCATCGTTCGCTAACTTGCAAAAATGGATTGACGAAGTGAGGAGATACACTGCATCAAATGTAATTATAATTTTAATTGGTAATAAATGTGATCTTGAAGAAAATCGGGAAGTAGAGTTTGAAGAAGCTGAAGCAATGTGCCAATATGTCCCAGAAATTCTTTTTGTTATGGAAACCTCTGCAAAATCAAACAAAAATGTGGAAGACGCTTTTCTAAGTTTAGCAGTCGAATTAAAGGTAAACATAGAAATAAAAAATTTAAATTTCTTTCATAAAATTTATAATCATTTATACTTAAACTCTTAAAATATTTTTTGAATTGTTTTAAATTATAGAGACGCCACGATTTGAATAATATACAAAATGAGAACGAAAGTGGCATAACACTTAGTCAAAGTAAGCCATTAAAAACATGCAGTAGTTCTTGCAACTTAACGTAAGGTACAAATATATAAATCGACTAATTTTATAAAAATCTCAAAATTTTATTAAAAAAATTTCAAAAATGAAAATAATTTTTAGAACAATTATCATAAAGTTTGACTTGAATATTAACAAAACTGTTGTTAAATTAAATAATTAAAACTACTTTAGTGATATCACTATTTTTAAATAATATATGTTTATTTTGTTCTTAATTTGATCTATTCGACCAGTAGAATTAATTACAATTGATGAGAGAATGATATTAGGAATCGTAAAAGTAAATTTTTTAATAAAATGGTTTATACTGAAAAAAAAAATGAAATAAAAACGACTAAACTCAATGTAACTTAATATTAGATGTAGATATATTTTAATTAACAAGTTCACTTTTCATAAAGATGACTCAATAATGTACCATTTAAAAAAAAAAACAATAAAATATAAAATGTAATATTGATAAAGAAAAAATAGAAACTGGTCGAAAAAATAACTACACATTTAAAGTGTAAGAAAAAAATAATTATTTCCATCCGTTATTGATATTATAACCTATAATTTTGTTAATCTAAATTTATAAGAAAGCTTTAATCCAAAATATTGTAATATTATAGTTTGATTAATATTAACAACCATTTGGATAAGTTTAATTTTTGTGTTTTCAATAAGAGAAAAAAATCATCTTTTTATTAAAATTAAAGAAACTATTCAATCTTTTTTGTTATTTAATTTAAAATCTAATTTGTTGTATACATATAATTTAAATGTGCGTTTTTTTGTAAAAAGAAAATATATGACCAAGAATAAGTAAACTACGTAGACGCGAAGAAATTGCAATTCCAAGTTTGTTTTATTAGACACGTTTTTTAATAAAATTTTGTTTTAACCTAATTAATCTGATTTCCTATATCCGTTTTTTAAAGTACGCACATTTAATGTCTTAAAACCTGTTAGGATCTTAACTTTTTGCAGTTAGAATAAAGAAAAGGTTAAAAATTAAAATTCAATATAAAAGTTTAATAATATAAGTAAACGAAATATGTAGTCTAATAATAACATTTGTTCGTTTGGAAACTTCACTCAAATTTTGTTCAATTCCTAAATATCGTATAATCACCAAATGAGAAGAATATGATTGCTCACCATATCTATCACATATAATTTTCAATTGAAAAAAATGTTTTTCCTTTCAGAAAAACATACTACGAAATTCAGTTAAACACTTTCGTTTCGGGATATCAGTGTTTCAAATTTCAAAATGTTTTGCACCGATATCTATACTATTGAAAGAAGTGTGTACATAAATGTATAAATTAAAATTCAAACGTAATCATTATATGAATGCTGTTTATGAATAGTTTGATTATAAATGATTTGATTATAAAAGAAGTAAAACCGACGTAATTTTATATAATTTTTATTTTAAATGTTACTTTTATAAAATATAAAAAATAATTTTATTACGAAGGTAATAGAATAAAATTTTTCTATAGGTTTAATATCCTTCTATAGATTATACACTACATTATCTATTCCCAATTAATGAAATTTTATAATTTTTTCAATTTGAAATTTTCTGTAGTCATTCTAAAATAAAATAAAATATACCGATATATGCATATGCAACTTCATAGCTGAAATCTAAAATTACATAAACATTTATATTTTTTATAAATGTTTATTATTTTTTCGTGGGGCTACTTTTAAAATGTTATGTATATTGAAATACATACAAAATTTAATGCTTATTTAAATAATTTGGAATTAAAAAAAATTTAAAATACAAAAAACAAAAGTAACCAAAAAAGAATTGCAATTTAATTAACTTGAAAAAAAAATTAAAAGTACCATTTTTAAAATATAACGTTAATTTGCATAGTATACTGTATTAATTATTACTAATTAGGAAAAATTTGTTGCAACTTTCTGAAGTTTTCTGTTTAACGAACTTTAACTTAACAACGGAAATATGTTCTTATATTCGATTCTCGAAAAAAAATTATGAAATATGGAAATTATTAGAATTCGTTTAATGAAATGTAAACTCGGCCCCAATTTGCGACGTTTGTTTTAACGATTTATTGTGTTAAAAAATTTCCTGTTTGGGCATTTAAAATTGTGTAGATGTCATCATTTGCAAGGTACAAATGTATTTTTTTGACAAAACAAATTCTGCTAGCAATTTTAATGTGAATGTAATACATATCATGTTCACACCTAGATACATCATGTTACTTATGTGACTGGAATTTTTTTTTAGTTTTATTTTACGGCTCCGAATTTTGGAATGTATAGAGAACGAAAATCGAGGACCTAGTGTATATAAACAGAGAAAGAGAAAAGATGTTTTTATTTAATTTGAAATCCGTCAATGTTTTTTTTAATGAATTAGTAATCTTTGTTTCTATTTCGCTTGTACTTCCTAAAATTAAATTTTGAAAAATTGTATCGTATATTTTAAAAAATCTTCATATAAGTTTTTTTCTTTGTTCCAAACATTGTCAAATTGAAATTGACATTGTAGTTCTAATACAGCTTCCCTGGTACAAAAAGTAAATAGATTAAGTATGAATGCCATTAAAACTTTAATGTTTGTAAAATAGAACTTTAATATAATATGTAAACAGTTTTAATGTAAAATGTAAAAGATAATAAGGTATTTTTAAAAGGCGGTTAGATCATCCAATATATAATATATAATCATAGTACACTTTTTCATTAGGGGCGCTTTTCCACTTTTTAAAGAAAACGATATGGGAAACATTTGTCTAGTTTCAAATTGTTATTCCCATTTAAAATAACAAATGAATATTTTTCACCATACTTACATATGTCAATATTATTTGTAATATAATATTGTAATATACCTAATTCGTTGGTTGCTTTCATATTTTTTAGCATAGTTTTATTATATTTCTCAAATGTCAAATAGCCGTACTTATCATCTTGTAAACTATTTCTGTGGCATCTCCAAATATAAATAGCAAGAATGAAATACTGGAAACATATCGCACAACAAGAATAATACAGCAGAAACTCAAAACAGTTAATTCCTGTTGTAAGCGTAAAATATCATCCATCTATACTTTATTAAAAATGTTTTCAACCTTTGATTTTTTTTTATAATCTATTTTACACTAAAGCCGTTGTTATTTTTTCTTGAAAAAGTAATGTTTTAACTTTTAAATCTTTAAGATAATTATGATTTTTCTGAGTTCCAACCAGAATAAAATTTTATATAAATTTGTGAATCAATTTCACTTTGTTTGAAAATTGACATTACAAGTTTCGCTTTAATTCAGTAATACAGAAATATTTCGAAGTTATTTTCGAAATGTCAAAATTATCTTAACGCAACTTAAAATCAAAACAACGCTATGGTTGCGTGGTTCTAATATAATATAATTGAAAACATTGAATTAATAAAAAATTAAAGTAATTTGTATTATAAAGCACCGCACTTTCTTTATTGCATATAAATTTACAAAATTTGATCTTGGCAAATATTTTTAAATTATGAATTTTCATCTTTCGCAATTAAATAGGTGTGCGATTACAAAAAGTAAACAGAAGAATCGGAGTTTTTCCTCATTTTCATTTTCGAAGTTTCAATTTGCAAATCTCAACTCGACTCATATTTTATTTTTACTATTTGATATCATAAAAAAAAATATTCTTTTTTTTATTTAATATAGAAGCATAGTATTTCGTGTTATTTAATGTTATAATCTTTACCTTAATATCAATAGTAATATAGAACGAATTAAAATTGCCATACTAAAATCTCATTATTTAAGGCTTACTTTGGTCGAAAATATGGAATCAGAAATATTACGGTATTATCTTCAGGGTGCGATATACTTATAGAATATAGATTTGTTTTTTAAAGGAATCGGTAAAAATATATAATACGATTTAATTGAGGAAGAACCATAATATCATATAATTTATATTTTATTAATTTTTTAAAGAAAATTTTACAACAAATACCAAATATTAAATAAAAAATTTAAAATATTAGTAACTTGTATGTTTTAATTATGCTTGCCAAATTAGAAGTTGATATAAGAATTTTATTAACAAATTGCGAAGAATTAAGCAAAGATGAAAGTAACTTCTGGAGATTAAAAAAATTCATCAAATCATTGGACACTATGATTTATGAGCTTAAAGACACCGAAACGTAAGTAATATTGAAAAACTATAAAATGAGCTAAAGTATGCAAGTACATATTTTCATTGATGACGTGTAAAAATGTGTATTTTCCATAATTTTTAGGTATTCTAGTCTAAGTTCTTTATCAGATTATTATAATCGTTTGCAAGAATTAAAGACGATTACAAATTATCAAGAAGCATCGGAGAACAAAAAAATACTTTCAAAATCAAAATTAAAACAAGGAGCCAGTAATGATTTGATTAGAGAAGTAAACCAAATAAAAAGTTCAAAAAAACTTTCTGATTTGCGAAAAGAGCTCCTGGATGAAGGTATCAAATAAAGTTTCTGAATATAATAGATATGTATGTATTTTTTTGTTTTATAATAATTTCCTATGGCAATGAAGATGATGGATTACGAAAACGAACTAATTTACAAAATGAAGGAATGGATCAGACTATGAAATATTACAGTAATGTGCAAGAAAAAATTACGGAAGATATGTTAGCATTAACACGTAGCTTACGAGAGCAAACAGCAACAGCTAATCAAATTATTAAAAAAGATACTGAGGTAAAAATTAATGGCTTAAAGTTATTTAATTTTTATATACAATGTATATATTATTTAGACTATAAGCCAGTCGTCGCATATATCAGATAAAAACTATGATTCTCTAGCTAAGGAAAGTGAAATCTTGCAACATCATTCTAGTAGAGCCTGCAATTGTTGGAAATGGTTAATGATAGTATCAGTAATAATAATATTTATATGTAAGTTTAAAAAGAAATTTTAAAACAAAAATAATAATTTTTCTTTGTAGTTATGGTTCTTTTCATGAGAATAATGAAAAAGAAAACTTCATGAAAGTGTAACAATTCGGGTGCATGGCTATGGGTAGTTCTTTTTATAAAATAATAGAAAAAATCACTTTTTGGAAGTATGTACATATTTATAATAATTATTATGTTATGTACATAAGTATGTACATGTAACATTACTATTTTGAACATTGCAATTCGTATTCAAGTTTTTTAGTGAAAATTAAATTATTTTTATTTATATATATATTTATAACATAATATTTATTTGTGTAATAAATCTTAATGTTCTTATGTTATAATACTCATGCGAGGTCAAAATAACTATTTTCTTTTGAAAGGAAAGCGGAATTCAAAACATTTTTAGGAAATATTAAATTTTTAATATATGTACATATCTGACGTCAGCATTAACTATGCTAAAGCTAAAAGCAATAATTTTTGTGCATACATTAAGAAATACTTTATGTACAATAAAAACATTCTTCAAAGTAAAAAAATAACATTTATTCTTAATTGTAACGCTAACAAAAAATGTTTTTAAAATCTCTGATAACAATTTCTGATAAATTGATAAAAAATAAAAGTCGAATTCCACAACCAATCAACCTGTAAAAATTCCTATAGGTACATCTTATTTTGCCATATTATTTATTGCTAATAATTAGTGTATTATATAGTGGAAGGCAGTTGATAGCTATTTAAAATATGTATACTAATTAAGAGTTTATATATACATATTATCGCAGAATGTTACAAATATTGTCTTTAATTGAAATTTACATAAGAAACTTCTCGCTCTTCCAAATATTATTTATACCATCCTTTAAAACGTGTTAAAACATCTTCCCAAACTTTAAGTTTAGTTTTATATTCTAATCCTATTTCGATACGGGGTTCAAAAATTCTGTCAATCTTTCTAAATTTTTTTAGTTCTTTGATATTCGTACATAAACCTATAAGATATAGATTTTTGTTATAATTAAAATAAATTTTTAATTTTGTATTACCTTCATTAAAAGCAACAACGAATGCTGATCCTAACACGCTAGCTTCTGTTGCTGTCGCTCTTTCAACGTTTAAATTCGTCAGATCGGCAATTAATTGACATATAAAATTATTTTTAGAAACTCCGCCATCCACTCTGTAATATCAAAAACATGTTTTTATAAAAATAAACGTATACGGTTTGTAAAAAAAAGGTTTTTCCAAAAAAAAAACGAAATGTAACAAAACTCACCGAATACATTTAAGATTGTACGAAGTCTCGTTTTTGGTACATTCATACAATTGGAAAACACGAAACGCTATGCTTTCTAGTAACGCTCTGACCATATGAGCTTTTTGGGTAGAAGGCCTTATCCCTAAGAAACCAGATGCTGATTTATAGTCATTGATAGGCGGCTATAGAAAAGAAATACAACTCTGCGAAATTAAATATTAATTTAATCTTATAATACTTACCCCTATACCACTGAATGCCGGCACGAAGTAAACTCCGTCTGTGTCGGAAACTGACTCAGCCAAGTTTGAAGTTTGTGTTGGATCATCAAAAAGGCCACAATTTAATCCCCAGTTAATAACTGTTCCAGTGTCATTGGCCGCACCTTCCATACAATACGTGAAACAAAAAGAATTGTCTCCAGACTTAAATCGCCATCCAACCATTGGATACAATCCTGAAAGTGATGCTTGGCATTCTTTCCCTGTATTAAGATTCAAAAATGAACCAGTTCCTAAGGTAACTTTAACATCTCCATCGTCAAAACAGGAAGATCCCCACATTGCAGCCGATTGATCGCTAAATGATGATGAAATTTTTATACTTTCACCAAAAATGGATTTGTGAACATATCCAAAATTGTAATTATTGTCAACAACCTTTGGTAACATTTCTTCCTAAAAAATTTTAATTTATATGAAATTAAATGAATTTTTTCATTGTAATGCAGGTATCATTTTACCCGAATTTTAAATATTCGAAAAGCCAATGGCGACCATTGCAAGGTAAATGGATCGAAAAAACCTGTAGCAGTACAGGACGTTATGTCACTGATATGATCAAATTTTTCAATATCCAAAGAATTTTTTCTAAAAAAAAAAAATTAAATTTAAACAAACAGGTTCCTATCCTGAATGAAGGTAAAATAAAAATTGCCTCAGCTTATATAATAACCAGGAATCTAACGTTCCAAATAAAGCAAGTTTTTGATTGATAGCATCTTTTAACTTGCTATTGTTTTCCATTTGCCAGACTAATCTAAGTGTTACCTGAAATTTGTACAATTTCAAAACAAGCTCCAATTAAAAAAAAATAAAAGCGTAACAAAATATAAATATAAATTTTAAAATATTGCTTAACTCGAATCTTTTTCAAAAAGTACAAATTAAAAAAATACAGAAACAGGTACAGCTAAGTATTTGTAGCCTAATACGCATGAAATATATACACGACATAATCTTGCAATTCATCTTTGATGCAAATATTAAATACCCTATAGTAAAATATGCGAAACTATAGTTTCGCGTGACTATTCAAACATATCAAAACTTTGACAGAGTTGAAATCTAATACGTAACATAATGACGATAAATTAAAAAAAGAAATATTCGTAAGTTTCTGAGTCAGCACCTGAGAATTCATCATTTTCAAAACACTGGCGGCCAAAAATCTTTTGCTTCTTGTAATAAGATACAAGAAGTATGAAAAGTTATTAATGATTTTTAGAAGAAAACTATTATTCCATTTTTGGACTAATTGGTCAGCTCTCAAATCTTTCCAAGTTATAAAATTATGAAAATGTTCTCCAGTTTCGCGATTCCAAGTAATAAAACTAGATCTTTGAGTAGAAATTCCTAAACCTAGAACGTCTTTAATATTTATTGATGCGTCTAAAATATTTCAAAAATTATTTAAAAAAAAACGTATTAACAGTTTGTCAAATACACATGGTGCTTACCTGCAATAGCATTCTTTATTACATTAATAATGCTTTTCCACAGTCTTTCTGGTTCGATTTCGAAATAACCAGGCTCATCATTTAAAAGCTGAACCTATAAAACCATGTGCATAATGTCTATAACTCATTTTTGAAAGAGCATAAATTTAAGAATTATAATTCCGTTTTTATTTGAAGATCTTACCAATTCTGTTGAACCACCCACTTTTTTGAAACTTAGATCAAATATAAAACATCTTATTGTGGTCGTTCCAACATCCAATGAAGCTATATATTTCTTCATTTGCATTTTTGTTACGCAAGTAGGCACCTACCCACTACTCAGAGGTCAGAAAAAACTTAAATGAACTTTAGTAAATTGACGTTGTAATTGAGCTTTCTCTATTATTTTATTACTTGGATTGTTAATTGATAACAGTTTATAAACAACGATAAAAAACATAGACAAATACATACATAATATGTATTGAGTCTTGATGTGCAAATTTCACTTTCTTTTGCGTTCCGTTTTGTGTAAAACCTGTTTAAACTCAGCTTCATAATACATATATATTTATTCGGTTGTGAATAAAAATTGAATCAAAAAAAATAAAAAAAGTAACTTATTCAACTTAGAACAACCCCCCAAATCAAATAAACAAATGTCAAGTACAAAATTTTGCTGCCCGAATATTTCTCAAAAAGTCAAAACATTGAAGTAATGACAACTGGGTTGTTGCACTTATCTTCTTTTTGTGAATTTTTGTTTCATAAACATTTGTTCTTTACGCAAAAATCAGAAACAAAACAAAAATACAGAATAAAACCTTAATGAGTTAATGTGGAAACATCTACAAGTAGATAAAATTCTGTCTTCAAAAGGAAATATGTATTCTTTTTAAAGACAGAAGCAAGAACTCAACAAAAAGGATGCTAACATAAAGTTTTTCCATTCTTTCTTAAAACTCCAAACAAAATATGAGTTCGAAATAAATTAACCAATAATTACTTAATTATTATTACAGGAAAAACAGAAAAATCGTATAAAACAAGGATGTTTACTTCACACACTTTTGACATAAATTTTGTAAACGGAATAGAAGCATAATTGAACCTATTTCTATTATAAACAAATTAATTAGAAATTACATAATCATAGAATCTATTTTTGATAAATCAGAATCTTCTCCAATGCGTCCTTTTAAAACAAATTTGAAAGCGATTCAAGAAGAATGACAGAATAAGTCATTTTTGAAATTTTAGTTCTCAGATTACGAGATTACGAGATTAGAAATATTTTCATTTAATCAGAGCAAATCGAAAACTCTGAATCTGATCAGATTCAAAAGTATAAGAAATTAAATACGAAAATTAAATTTAAAAACGAAAACGCCCAATAGAAATACTCGTTTAGAAATGAGTAAAGTTTTGGAGTGAAAAATATTAATGAGCTTCAAGCGTACTTATGTAAACACAATCATCTAGATTAAGTTTTTATACGCAATGGAGTTGCGTTTTGATTGTCAAAGTAACGCAGTTTTGCCGGAATTTTTTTGACATTTTAAATACGTATATTTGGTTTGGATTGTCATTGGCACTTCCTTTCTTAATTTTGTTGTCAAAATGGTAAGATATATAATTTTTGCATTACTTAAATATTATATTAAAACATCAGAAAAATGCAACCAAATTCAAGTTAAATGAAAATGGAAAATTCAAACTTAATAGTCTTTTTTCCTTTTAGGGTATAGATATTTGCCACAAATACGATAGGAAGGTTCGTAGGACAGAACCAAAATCCCAAGATGTTTATTTGAGATTGTTGGTGAAAGTAAGTAAATAAAATATGGTACACAGATCATATAATTTAAACATATTTTTTTTTTTTTTAGTTGTACCGCTTCTTGCAGCGTCGCACCAACAAAAAATTTAATCGTATAATATTGAAGCGTTTGTTTATGAGCAAAACAAATAGGCCACCTATGTCACTACAGCGTGTTGCTCGTTTTTATAAAAAAAGTGGTCAAGAGGATGTTACTTGCGTAATAGTAGGCACCGTTACTGATGATGTCCGTCTTTTAAAAGTACCTAAGATGACAGTATGCGCTTTACATGTTACACAGAAAGCTCGTGAACGCATCTTAAATGCAGGTGGTAAAATTCTTACATTCGATCAACTCGCATTGAAATCACCGACAGGCAAGAAAACTTTATTAATGCAAGGAAAACGTACTGCGAGAGAATCGTGCAGACATTTTGGAAAAGCCCCAGGAGTTCCCCATTCACACTCAAGACCTTACGTTAGATCAAAAGGACGTAAATTTGAAAGAGCTCGCGGTCGTCGTTCAAGCTGTGGCTATAAAAAATAAATGCTTATATAAAAAATATAAATAGCTATTAAAAACCAATAAAAAACTTTAAAGTGAAATTTTATGTTTTGAATGGTAGGTAGTTGCCTACATAATTTTTATTGGAGTTTCTATAAATAGATAACATGGCTAAATTCATAATATTTGATTTTAATTTACAACTTCGCATTCATAAATGCAATTGATACCATCCAGGAATTTTCATCTTAGGTATTGGCTCCAGTAATTTATCAATAATTGGTCCTGTGGAAGTATTCCCAAAATCTTCTTAAATTTTGCGATATCTGTAGAAGATTTTATTTTGGATATATATATTACTTTGCTAAAAAGAAAGATATTTCTTTAGATTTAATTTTTCTAAATTTTTGAATTGTAAGTATTCATACTTTTTCCACTCTTCTATCAGTACTTTTAATCTTTTACTTAAAACCAAATCTGTAAACAAGGGCTCATTAACAGCTTTTACTATTTGAACAAGTAAAGTTGGCACTACGAAACAAAAACTAAGTGAAGTTTCAGTTAAAATAAAAATTAAAGATACTTTTAACGGGTATTTCCCCTAGCCATTTAACAACAACAGCGTTATTTTGAGTTTCTGAAAACTCTATGTAAAATGTTGAAGAAGAAAGCACAGGAAGCCGTTCTCCAGGTTGAATTCTAAAAATCTTATAATTTTCCGGACTAGTAGTTGAAACACTAGTATCAAACACAATATTTTTACCCATGACTTGAGGTAATAGGCTTTTTAGAGTTTCCACTATAAACTTGGTCTGGTCTGATGATCCTCGAACTAAAATCTGATATTAATATGCTGTTAAGTTTTATAATTTCAAGAAAAAAGTAGTATACATTTATTCCAATCAAAACACAATAAGAAGCCTTAATAAAATTACTTCCTAATAATTCACTAAGCTGCCTTATATATTTTTCAGAATTATTGTCATTTTGATGATCAATAGAAATACTACTAATATTAGATGCTTTTTTCCACAATGAGTTACAAATATTTAACGTGTGAGTTTTCAAGTTGAGCTTACTGAAATTTTCAAACCCGATATGTTCCGTTAAATATTTTGACCCAGCTAATAATATCCATGTGAAATGAGAATGAATTATTTTAAATATGTTACTTTCCCCCGTTAAATCTATTAAAGATCTGTGTGTAGTTGAAATTATTTGACCACCACTTGATATTCGTCGTTGAATTGGCGAGGATTTAGCTTTTTCCTCGTTACGAACTCCTTTAGCTAGGGTCTGAATCTCAGATGAAATATTCTAAAAACAAAATATTCTAATGTACTTTGTGTACTTCTAATGTATACATTTAGATACTTACAGTTATATGCTTAGCTAGAAATGGTTTCATGTTTAATAAGTAATATTTGTCCTTCATAATAATAACTATTGAAAAGAGTTGATAAAATCCCCTAGCCTGCGGAAAATAAAATTTTATATAAATTTTTTGATATTACAACATTTTACTTGAAGATCGCTGACATGAAATGTGTGACTTAATATATGTCCGTTAAGTGCATCTCCAAAAAAAACGAACCCTCCATCCTTCTTAGAACTTATCTCACAGCTTAAGCTTCGAACTGAAGCCTGTTTTATAAGACCGTAAAGTTCTGGAAATATTGGTCCTTGGGTACTTAAATAAGAAATTCCTGCATTTTCATCTCGACTTAGCATTACAGTAGATTCTATTGAGTTACATGCAGGGCACAATTTATTTGACGACTGAGTTAAATCAAAATTTATGTCTTCAACTTTTGTCTCTTTTAAAGATTGTGTGCATAAAATTGAAGAAGGTCCATGAGTCTCGCAGAAATGGCAAAGTGAAATTACTGCATTCATTTTGTTTTAATTTTACATAACAATTAAAACACTGTTTTCTCGCACAGTTCTATAATTAAAACAATATAAACAATCCTTAAGCTAGTTTACATTCACAATTTGACATAATGTCATTTTGCCGTCAATAAATATAAGAAACATATGAAATGAATACCTGCACGTTCATTCAAAAGCCTATCAAGGCTGCCAACATAAAAAAATTTTGAGAGCGATTTAAAAAAAAATAAAGGATTTGAATTGAAATAAGAAAAAATTAAATGGATATGGCTAAGAAACTCCGTTTTTAAAAAAGCAAAAGGAAAAATAGAACATGAATGTTTTTTCGCTGTCTTTTCTACAAAAATAGATGAAAAATTTTTGTAGAATTTTTTTTAAACTAAGAAATAGTGTACAGGTCCAACCCTGTATTTTTATCATGCTATGCCAAGAAATTATTTATGGGCATGATAAAAATATAATCTCATTAGTCATATGATTTTGACAATTAATTATCAATATAAAGAAATGATTTAAAATATATTTACTAAACAAAACAGATGGATTGAGAATGAACAACATACAAACACACACAATACTTATTTTAATTCAAATATGTATGTTTAAACTTTTATAAAAAAACGCAATATTACAAAAGAATTAGAGTGACTGTAGGAGTGAGCAAAATAAAAACATTATTATTTATCCTGTACAAATCACAATGTCAAGAAATTTATATATGCATCCAAGAAATATTTACAAAGATCCACCGGATTATGTTGAATTGGCTATTAAATATCCGAATTTTCGAGCAGTATCTAAACTTGTAAGTACTTTCAGTAAATTGAAATTTTTCATAGAGAGATTCATTATTTCAGGAACTAAATGGTAAAGTATCGGTAAATTTAAAAAATCCTGAAGCTTTAAAGCAATTATCAAAAACTCTGCTCCTAAAAGATTTTCAACTTGACATTGAGTTTCCTGAAAAGTCTTTAATTCCAACCATTCCTCTCAGATTAAATTATATATTGTGGATGGAAGATTTAATAAACTTTTTTAACTTAACAAAAGTTGAAGGAATAGATATTGGCAAGTTTTCACAAATTATTTATTCATTTTTTCTATAATAGATAAAACTACATAAATGTAATTCTATTAACAAATTACCTGTAGCAAACCGACTAATGGGACATGTACAAATTATTAATATTATTATTGAATTTAGCTTTATGAACTATGGATGTTAATAATGTACTTGGCAAACTATTTTAGGTTGTGGAGGAGCTGCAATCTACTCAATTCTCGCAGCAAGAAAAAATTATTGGAAAATGATAGGCTTAGAAGCAGATCAAGAAAATGTTGATTTTGCGACTTTAAATATAAAAAAAAATAATTTAGAAGAACTAGTATACATATTTCAACAGATGAATGATGTTATATTTAAAGATTTATTTGAATTAGAGCAAAATATGACAAGGAAGTTTACATTCTGTATGTGTAATCCACCATTTTATGAACATCAAGATAATTTACCTCAAAATAGACAATATCGCAAGCGAAAGGCACCAAGGAATGAAGCAACGGGGAAATTTGCAGAATTGGTTTGTGATGGAGGGGAAGTAGCTTTTGTAAAGAAAATTATATGTGAAAGTTTAGTTTATAAAGATAAAATATTGTAAGCTTGTTTAAAAAAAAACAGCAAAAACAAAAGAAAATCATACTATTTACTTTGTTTTTCAGAATATATTCTTCTTTACTTGGTCACAAAAAAAGTGTTTTTGAAGTTCTACAATTTTTACGAACCAAAAATGTTGAAAATATTTTGCAAACCGAATTTTGTCAAGGAAATACTACTAGATGGGGTGTTGCATGGTCTTTTTCAAAAACTTTAGATTTGAATCTTTGTAAACATTTGTGCATAGGAAAGCCTATCGAATTAAATGTGAATTGTACTTAAGATAACCAAAGAAATGAAGCATTAAACTTGATTTATTTTTTTATATTTTCGTAATATTGAAAAAGCTTTGTAAAATAAAACTACAATTTTATTAATTTTATAAATCTCAGCATTTAATCAATGCAACTTAATTTTCTAATGAAATTTGTGTTAAATTACTAGACTTTTTATTTTTTGTTAATATTTTAAAAAAATATTACGTGATTACATTAGTTTTTTTTTTTTTCTTAATTTAAATAATTTGTTTTTAGTTTTTTGTTTCTTAGTATTTCATATACATAACATATAAATATACTAAAAACAATTTTTGTTTTTGTAATATTGTATACATCATTTACGAATTGTGTTTATACATAATACAAATTTTTATTTAATGTATAAATTTTTTGCATAAATAAAAAGCTGGTATGTTACAACAAAAATAATTCAAACACTTTGTGTTTATCAATTAAAAATAAAGAAAATACATGATATTTTTGTCCCGAAATCTTTAAGAAAACAAAAAATTATGCATAAGCTAATAATGTCTGTAAATTTCAAATAACAACAATAATAATATTAAAATGTTGAGGTTAATTTGTGATAAAAGTTTTAAAACGAAATAATGTTAAAGATTCCATAAAATATTTACCAATATATAGATAGCTTGTCTGAAATTTGTATGCGTCTTTTATGAGAAAATAGTTGAATTAATTTTGTGTTTGATTAATTTAACCTGATTTGTATTTTATTAACAGTTGAAAATGGGTTACTCTGGTCAAATAGACCATGCACATTTTATAGATATTTAATTTTTAAGTTTTAAAAATTTATTTAGAAAAAAATATCAGAGTATTTTTGGATAACGAATAATATTTATGTTACAATAATAAGGGTATTCAAAAAAAAAAAAAAATAAAATAATTTGAAATTTAATTACTTAAAACAGTTGAAAAAAATACATATGTATAATAAAAAATTAACTTTGTTTTAATTGACTAAATATTTTTTATTTTAACTTTAATAAATCATTAGAAATTTTTTTATGGTTTGTCATTTTTACTTTACTCTTTCTTTTTTTTTTGGAAAATGAATTTTTTTTTAATAATTTCTTTATTTTGTATTGTAAGCTTATAACTGAACTTAAATTAAAATATAATATTCAGTCTATAATAAAATATTTGATTTACCACTTAAGTTACTATTTTAAATTTCTTATCTTCTAATTAACTCTAGTTTAATTATTTTTTTTTTAAACTACATATTCCTATATTTAAAATAATTACCTTCAATTTATTATTTTTTATATTTTTTATTTGTTTCTAATATTTATGGCAATAACGTGGCGCATAATGAATCTCTAAATAAAAACAAATTTGAACTTAATTTTTAAATTTAAACCCTTTTTCCTTTATGTATTACGAAATATTAATTTGATTACATAATACTTTTTCCGTAAAAAATAATGTTAATTTCAATAATATGCAATTGTTATTTCAATATTTTCATTTTATTTCTAATGTTGTATATATATATTTAATAATTGTACATTCTAAATGTACAATTTTATACGAATGAAAGTAAATTTATATGTGTATAAAATGAAAAATAAAAGAAAAAAGTAGATTTAGATTACAAATTTTCATGCATTTAAAAAACCGAAAAATTACAACAAATTTTAATAAAGTATTTTTGATAGAATTGCTTTGTGAAATTGGTTTTAAAATGTGAATTTTTCACTGGTCTGTCGTGGGTATAATTTAATTATATATAATTTAACTCAAAATAGCTATATAAACTCAAAAAAAGATTAAAGCCTTCAAAAAATATATAAAATTAATTACAAAGTTATCTCTTTCGTAAGTTTTTCCTGTTTGTTTGTTTGAATACTGAATGAATCGCGAATAGAAACCAATATTTTAAAAATATAAAATTTATTAATATTTCTGGTTAAGATAAATGAAACAAACTTGTCTGTATTTCAGTCCATGATCCTTCATATTTCTTAAACTTCCTCAGGATAACAAAAAAAAATAAATATAATATTGAACGCAATAACAAGTATAATACTTAATAGTAAATAATAATTACTTTAGATACTTTAGATAAAAAGTAAACAATGAAAGAGTAAAAGATAAATTTCAATAAATTTCAATTAAGTGTAATTTTACAATAAAATCTCAACAAAACGAAAAATTAAATGAACTACATAGTTATATGATAAGAAAAAAATTTGAAGCTGCATATTTTTTAATAATGATAACCACAATTTTGATTTTAAAAATACAAAAATTTTAAGCCACGAATTTAATTTGATTATGATGAATGGTATTAATTTTAAAAACAAATTTTCAATATAAATTTATTTTACAAAATATTAAATTCTAATAATTTAATGCTATTGTTATTATAGATTTAAATTGAGATATTATTATAGCTGCCCTTAAATTACATAATTCATTACCTGAATTTGATAATTATATTGATAATAAAGTATGATTTAAAAAATATGACAGACGTCAGTTAAAATATAAAAAAAAAAGTTTGTTTCATAAATATGGCCATTTAAATAAGAATCATGAAATAAAGTATTATTAATAACCAAAGACCTTAATTTAGTATTAGGAATCAAATCAAATTCTATATCGAAGATGCATACTTTGACAAATGAAAAATTGGAAATTGCTAATTCTCTTAAATGATATTATATATAAAATTTTTGTAATTATAACATTTCTCTACAAAACAAAATTATTTACTCATTTGTAATATATTTGCGTAAACAATAATCAAATGTCATCTATCACAATATAATAACATTAATCAAGTCAGTGTTGTTTATGTTATGTTATAAATTTTGGGCGAAAAAATAAACATTCCCACAATAATTTTGATATTTTTCTTTTTCAACGATTGAACGATATTTAAAATACGATAAATAAAAAAATTTACGACATTAAAAATCCAAATTTTATAAATTATTCAAAAAAATATCTGGATTCACTTTTGAATCAAAATGTTTACAAGAATACTCTTTTAAATTTATGCGTGAAATAAAAAAGACTAAGTACCGAAAATTTGCAATGCAAAATAAGGAATCAAATTATTATTAATAAAAACTTAACTAAATATCATGATTCATAGTTTTTAAATAATAATTTATATAGGAAAGAAAAATTATTAATTTTATTGTAAAATTTTTACACCTTTTTAATGTTAGTTGAGGCAAACTTATAAATTTCTTTAAAAAACAAAACGAGAATAATAAAACATAAGAAAAAAAGCAACGTTAACAAAACACCTGAATATTATTTTTCATTCTGTATGATAAAATTATTATTGTTATATGTAAAAAAAAAAAAAACTATCAATTTTTATAGCAGGTTTTCTTTTTTTAAGTTATTTTAATCAAAGTTTATTCATTAAATGTCGCTTAATGTCGGGTAGTTTTGATGAAAAATAAGCGGAAGTAAACAAAAATATTTAATTTATTTTGTTTTCTGCACGTTTTTATTTGTTTTTTACCTATTTCGGCTACTTGATTTTTATTTATTGAATTACTGGTTGTATTTATTAATATTCTAACTTAATGCTATTAGTAAAAATAAGATACATTATTTTACTATGTCTTCAAATTGCAAATTTCTTATAAAGCTGAACAAAAAATATTGTATAATATATTTATAATTTTTTTTTATTTTTAAATAAGGGCCATTCATTCCCACAAGTCATATTTTCACATAATCATATATACTTTTTATTTCCGCGTACCGTTTTCGTTATTTCCATTTATTATTTGGTAACTTTTTAAATGAAGAACCTAAATTGTTTATTTAGAATTTACAATTTGGGAAATAAGTTTCAAATGCTAATGGAACAAATATAAATTAACATTTGTTCAAAATTTTTTCAAGCATGCATTTAAAAATTTATAACTTTTTCTAAATAAAAAATATTCTTATAAGTTTTATAAACTTGTAATACAAATGAAATATGTGGTGTGTACATAGAGAAGTAAAGTAAATTTAATTTTTATTTCCTGTAGCTTCTATGTTACAACAAATTTTCTGCCCACAATATAACTTTAATGACATAAGCTCTTTATTAAACTTTTTGTGGTTTTTGACTTCAAATATGTATTAATTTAACTAGCAATTTTTCTCTATATTACTTTTGGCAAAAATTATAAATTTTATTTAAACATACTACAATGTATAGGTTTTATATAATTTTTAATGTGTTCGAAAAGAGATATATATGTATGTATTTTTGCAATTCAAAATAGATTTAAATAAACCTATTTAATTAATTACGTATTGTTGATATAAATGTAACAAAAAAAAAGTAAAAATTTGTCATTTTACTAGAAACTACCTTTTTTTTATTGGACAAAAATTATTTTAGAAAAATATTAAAACTTAACTTACTTTTTGTTTAAATATTTAATATTATAAAAAAAAGAATATTGTTTATTATTATGAAAGTAAATTTTAATGACTTTTTTTTAACATATTATTTAAAAAAAATCAAAATAAAGAGTTTTTTTTTAATTATTTTAAAAATATTGATTTGAGTATGATATTAAGAAAAGAAATTATTATATACATACATACATAACATGTATGTATATAAAATACGGAATTTATGAGCTGTGATAAACACAGAAACTTTACAGCTACTATAGTAATAGAACTATTGAGCTTCAAATTTTTTGCACACTTTTATGAACAGAAATACTAAATATTAGTTAATTTAATTTTCGAATAAAGAACTAAAGAATCAAAAATCTCTCAACATTTTAATAATAAAATTATTATAAACTAAGTAATGAACATGATTAAAGACAAATTCGCAATTGTGTTTATTACAGCTCATATTTTATCCTCACATGTTTCTCAAATAAATGTATGTACATACATCATTTTTTATCTTTTTGAATATGTATTTAAATTGTATATATTTTTGGGTTACGTCGAATTATGTCTTACATAAATAATTTTTTAAGTCTCTAATTTATAATTAATTTTTTTATACTTTTTGAAGTTATTTATTTACCTTTCTATTACTTATTAGAATATTAATTTTATTATTTCTATTTATGAGCATTTAACACAGGCTCCCTCAACATCAAAATCTAAAACCATAAGCTTTGTTTCTTCTGTTCCATTTCGTGAACCGACTGCACAAATCAGCTTTGTATCATTTGCTCTAAAAAAAAAATAGATAAATATGAGTTTTCAATTTTCAAAATCATAGAGAAATAAAAATAAACAAGGAAAATTATTCTAATGTAAAAATTTCAAAATTTTGGATGTGCTGTTACACGTAAGTTCACTAAATAAATAGTTTAACATACCAATAATTGATAGATTTTCAAATTTTCGAAAGTTATGTAAAGTACATATATACTTGTAAAATATACACATACCTAATTCTCCAAACAACACCGCCAGATCCACCAGATTCTAAAGCTACTAAATTCCTAATAAATTCACCAGTTTTAACATCCCATAACTTTACGGTTCCATCATCTGAACTGGTTATGACAAAACGCGAATTAAATTGTAGACAAGTAACTGCAGATTGATGCTTGTTAGGACCTTAAAATTAAAAATACATATTATTAAAGAAGATCGACCCAATTTTAATTCGCAAAAAATATCGTAAATGCATTTGATAATTATGAATGTGAGAACTACCTGACAAAGTCTGAAGACATTGTCCAGTTGTGATATCCCAAACTTTCACAGTCGAATCAGCGTTTCCCGAAACCAGAATATTTTGTCTTAGTTCCATACCGGATGTTAAACTTTGATGACCCATTAAAGTATGTTTGGGATTACCAGTCTCGGCATCCCAAACACGAATTGATGTGTCTAATGAACCAGAAACAACATGAATACCGTCGAACTATAAATTAAATCATTAATGTATAATTTAAATTAGGATAATAATTTACCACAAAGCACGTTTAAAATAAAGTCATATTAAATTATTTTACCTGCAACGAATATACTCTATTTGTATGCCCTTGTAAAGTATGCAAGCACTCTTGCCTTTCTGGATGCCATATTTTTACCATATAATCATATGCTCCAGATACTATCAATTTGCCATCATATTGCACACACCGAACAGCAGCTAAATGCCCCACTAAAACATGTAAACATGATCCCTGTTCAATGTCCCAAACACGCAATGTAGCGTCTCGTGATCCACTTACGACTCTTAAATTAATTGAAAATAAAAACATTAGTATTAGAAAAAATTTCTTCTTAAACAGTTATTACTTTTTCCCATGCAAATGCATGCAGCGAACTGTGGATGTATGACCCAACAATGTATGAATGCACTGTCCAGTCTCCATATCCCATACTTTTAATGTACGATCTGTACTTCCTGAAATTATTATATTGCCAGACATTTGCGATGACCATACACCTCCTGTATGACCAACTAAAGTTCGAAGGCACTAGAACAAAATTAAAAGTTGTTTTCATTTCTTTTTTCAAAATTTTTTAAACTAACCTTTCCAGTTACAGCTGACCAAACTTTTAAAGTATTGTCATCAGATCCAGAAACAATACGATTCCCGCTGAATTGTAGACAAGTTATGACATGATCATCGTGGCCTTTCAAAATTTTTGGATCTCTTATTGGACGAGTTCGCCAATTCATTTCAATTATGTGCTGGCGCATATATGCTGCCTTCCACGGTGACGATATCGGTGGCATATTACCTGCTCTACCACGTTTTGGAAGAGCTTCACCCGTTAGTATCCCATTTTTAGTTGGCTTGAGTTCGGTCGTAATTTGAGCAGCTTTACATTTTTCCTTCCACAAAAGATTGTCATCACATAAGTAACGCCAGCTTCGGCATGTTTGGGCAGCTCTCAATAAATCTTTAGGTTCCAAATATGAAAGAACTTGCAGGGCCAACTCACGCGGCAATAATGATATAAAATCGCGTTGAAATTGTGGCTCAATTACTTTCATCATATGACGAACTTGTTGTGGCTCGCAATGTTCTATTAGTCGATCAAGCGCTAATAAACGTTCAGCATGAGACCATCTTTGAAATTGCGCTAGCCAGTCATGCAACTCAGGTGGTGGATTATCTTTTGTTGGTATAATAGAGCGGGGTGTACGACGAATTTCTGAGCCTAAAACTATGGGTGTGACTGAAGTCGTTATTGAAGATGGACTGGAAAAATAATTATTAATGTTAGAGGTACGTGGTGTAGATGTATAATCAAGAGCCATTCTTTTCCTTCCACTTCCAACTTCATTAAAAGCGCTATCAGGTGATTCAGAATTGGTAACAGTGCAAGTATTATTCAATATACTATCATTGTGTTTTCGTTTACGTTGATGTTGTGCGGAGTTAGAAAATTCAGTCGGCATTGTTGCATTTTCTGGAAAGAACATATCTTCTGATAACGATACCATTTGTATGTAACTAGATAGGTCAACATCTTTTGAAGGTAAATCATCTTCCTCGTTGTTATTGTTATTATTATAACATGTACAAATTTCTTCATCAGAGCCCTCTTCACAATCTACCCAAGTTTCATCATCGACAAAATCGTTTTCATGCTGCTGTTCATTACCTTGAAAAAATTAGAAAAATATAGAATGAACCCAGTTTAAACTAATAAAAGTATATTACTTAGTAAGTCATCATTCTCAATTATTCCTTCATCAAAGTTATTATGATCCGATATTTCTTCTTGAAGATTTTCGTTATTATCATCCATTTGCTCGTCATTTTCGTTAGCCGGTTGTAAGATGTCAACAGGCAGAACTGAATTGTGGGAATTTGTTTCGCTTAATTTTTCGTTATAAGATTGTTTATTTATTCTTTTGTTAAATCTAACTGACTTGTAATTGCTAGCTTTAAATTTACTATTTAACATTTCATAATTTTCGTGTTCCGCATTTATTAAACTTTTTACTTTGCAAAGTGATTCATTCGTATAATATTGACATTTCTCAGTCAGTATACTATTTTTAGACGCGGTTATAGCCACTGACGAAGATGAGGTTCCTTCTGAATCAAGATCATCGATACTATTATTATCACTTCCTTTCTTTTCTACTTTCACGCTGTCAGATTTCGTAGAACTTAATGCACCATTCTGTCCCCGACTTGTTCCAGCGACAGGTTCTACTATAGAGAAATTGTTTTTATTATTATTGCTTGGATTATTTTCAGTATTATCTTTGAACATATTGTGATTTGGTTTCTTGCTGGAAAAATTTGGCAAGGAATGATTTGATGAGGTACTATAAGACTTATCTGATGAAAGACTATCATTTGAATTTGAGTTTGCTAAACATAAGTCGACTTTTTTGGCGAGTTGTAAACGATTTTGATTATTAGTACTATTACAACCGTTAATACTAGTCGAAGAGGATGGTACTGATGTAGACGAATATATATTTATTATATGATGTGTTCTACTCGTACTGGGTTGCAATTTTTTTAATGTAGATTTTTGTAACGAATCCATTTCAATAATTTTTTCATGTTTCTTATTGATTCCTTCCAAAGTCATTGATAAGTTTAGTTTTGTAATTGATTTATTTACACGAGAGGAACAGTTTCTACTACTTGTTGGCGTCGTTACATGTTCATTGGTTGATATCGTTGAATTCTAAAATAAAACCAAATTAATTAAATGTCAAACAAAAAAAATCTTTTAATTACCTTAAAATTTTCATTACTTTTGGAAATCTCTTCTTTTTTACTTTTACTATCATGGCGAGGATGATAAGATTTTATTATTTCCATATTTAGTTTATTATCACTATTAATTAAAGATTGGCTTCTCATTAATATTCCACCAGTCAAACGTTGCTCGTGTTCAAAATCTCTACGTTCAATTGCATCCATTGATTGCACGTCATTGTCATAAAAAGAAACAGTGGATTCAGAGCTAAGCGTTCCACTATTTATTCCGTTAACACCATCATTTTCGTTTCCATCATGAATTCCGGCAAGACTATTAGCATCACATAGAGATGACGAAGTTGGTGCATCATCATCCTCAATTTCTTCTTCATATACATCTTCTCTATCACCATCGATCACTTCATCATCGTCATCATCTTCACGTTCTAGAATTAAATGAGATTCTTCTTTTACATCAATTATGTTACTAGAAGATGTACTTTCATCTTCCATACTATAAACCCGTTTTGAATTTATTTTTTGAATATTATCATTTGTATTATCACTATTATTTTGTTTAAGAGTATTGCTTTTTAATACATTTTGGATTACTATTGAAGTATCATTTGACTTTTCACTTAAAGTTTTTACACGATTTAATGAATTGACACTATTTTCTTTTTTAGATGTTGGATTGGTTTTAGAGGCGGTAGTTGTTGCAGTTATATTAGTAGTAGATGAAGACGAAGCTGATAAATCATCAATGATACCATCATCATTATCATCTGATGATAAAAATTCTTCACTTAATCTTTTTGGTTTTACCGAAGATTTGATCGATGAATCAAAATCATTGTGATTATCAACTAAGCAAACATTATTATCATCTATTACTGGTGTTTCCAAAAATATAACATTATCATGATGGTGACATCTTATAATATTGCCCATATTATTACTAGTTTCGCTGTTCAAATCATTTGGTTCACTACAAAGTTCGCTAACACAATCTAGTGGTATAACCAAATCTTCATTTGAATCAGATGAAATACAATCACTGTTTTTATTGTTATCGATATCCAATTTATCAGTTTTAATTAATTTACTTTCAATACTTTCAGGAATATTATTTTTGCTAACTATAGTTGATGACTTTTCTGACAAACTTTTATGTAATTTTTTATTTGTAATTATAAGTGCTGAATTATTTTCTTTGTCTGATACTTTATTAAAATTAGTACTAGAAATATTTTGATTTACATACGTTATTGTTGAATTAATATCTAGAAGTTCATCAGTTGATGTTGATGATTCGGAAAAATTTTTCGAATTTAATTTTACTGAAGTTTTTCCTATTGTTGGAGGTGTTATCGTTTTTGAATCTAATGAAGCTAATCTATTTTTTTTTTTGACATAATTTTTTGCTTTTATTACTTGAGTGTCAGCATTGTTTGTAGTATTTGATGAAGAAATACATTTTTCGGCCATATTATGAATTATCTTACGAAATTCAATGTACTTTCAACTGATTCAAAATGATCTAAAAATTAAAAAAAAAATTATCAATTAATTCTTCAATTATTATTAGTGAGTATAAGAATTAAATACAATGGTACAATTTTTTTTATTAATTTGAGAAGTATAAAATTAGAAAATAGTACTTATTATGCAAGTGTCAAAAAAAAATTAAGTAATTCATTATAATAACGAAGTTGTGCGGTTATATGGCATACTTCTATTTAAACAAAATTTATTTTGTCAAATATGGGGGGACTTCAATAATCAAGTAACGCATTATTGCCGAATTCTGCACAAAAACTAGTTTTCAAATAATTTCAATGTCGAAAGATTATTATTTTAAATACATACATATACCTATTTAAATTTTTTTTTTTCCATAATTGTTGTAATTATTTCATTAATTTTTTTTCTAACTGCTATTATACTTAGTTTAATTTTCATTGAACTTGATTATTCATTAATTACATATTATCGAAAAAATTATTCGATGATAAGTAATGAATTTTTTTTTAATTTTGAATATTTTTTTAAGAGATTGTAATATGTACGTGTGTGTATTCAATTTTCCCACGCTTGCTAATTGTAAAAAATTTTTGTAATTATTAAAGATTCTTGAAGTAAATGGCTTACAAAAATATAAATTTTCGTCCTATATACAGAACTTTCTTACTTATGTTATTCCAAATACATTACATACGAGTACAACTATATAACAACCATTATACTACATTATGTATATAGGTATAAATATATATACGAAGGAATGCACATACATAATCACATTTGTTTGTTGGAATATAAAAAAATATTTTCCCACAACAGGAAATTTCAGTTTCATTCATTTTTCACACATAAATTTCGTTTTTCATTATTTTTTTTTTTTTTTTTTTTTTTTTTTTTTTTTTTTTTTTTGATACACCTTTTCAAAACGAAAATTAAAGAAAAAAGCAACAACAACAATAAAAGTAAAGTAAATCGTATACTGATATTAGATAATAGACATTATATTTAATCACAACGATACATCTTCAATCTTTAAAAGATGAGAAAAGAAAAATACGAGAAAAAAAATTATTCTTTTTCTTAACATACATATATGTAACTACAGTAAAGGTATTAAAAAAATTTATACTCCTCAAACTATTCCGTACCAAAATAGTGTGACTTGTTCAAAAAACAAAATTAGTAATTAATTTAAAAAATTTATGTTACAAATTTTGAAACGATTTTTAATGACAAGCCAACTGATCGAAAAGCATTTAAAAGCATAAATTATTTGAAAAAACAAAATTGCAATTAATTCAAGTCGAATGAAAAATATATGACATCCAAAAACGATCAAAAATATAGATGAGAAGTTACAACACTTTTAGAAGTTACAAGATTTTTTTAATGACTTTGATAAGGAAAAAATAAAATAAAATTTCTTGCATTTAAAGTACAAAAATACATAACAAATAGAAAAGATAAAGGGCGTCTTCCTTTAAAATATTCAACTTGATACAATGCGATTCATTAATTAAATAAATTTTATTGATCAACTTCAGCCATTTTAACATTATTGAACTTGGGTCGAATACTTATTTTTTTGACCCGCATTGTACCTACATATGTATAAATCAAGGTACACCGGTATTATTTGTGAGCTACATACCGTACGTAAAAATGTAAAAAAAAAGTAAAATATTTTTTACCTGGACATTGTGTTATCCCACTGAGGGAATTTTTGAGTTTGAAAATTTTAACCTTAATGAAAAAATGCAACAGCATCACCGTTTTTTTTTTTTTATTTTGTCTCTTTTAAAAAGTTCTTAAAAGAATAAGAAAGAAGACAAATTACAAAACGTTAAGGGAAATTTTGTTCAACTATTAAATATAATTATATGTATGTATGTAGGTATATACGAATTTAAAATATTTTATAATGATTTCGAATTAGGAGATATCGACAAAATAGTGTTACCATGTCTTCTGACTGTCAAATAAAATTAATATTAAACTGTAAAGGCAGGGGATGGAATTTTGTTGAATGTTTGAACTCATGTGCCAAAAAAAATTAAGAAAAAATATCGAAAATCTAAACATAAATGAACTAAGGATTCTAAAAAATAAATTATTGTTTAGATTATTTTCCACACTTTTACAAAATTGTCTCTTCTATATAAATTTTTAAATGGAGAACCAAATCTATAGTTCTGTATTTTCCATACTAATACATGAACTCTTAGATAACTCTGTATATAGATCTTTTTAATTGAATCGTTTATCATAGGAATTTTATGAAATTTTGTATAATATGTAGATATTTTAAAAGTGATGTTTAAGAATAAAATGTACTATTATGTAGTATGTACATATTAATTTATCTAATTGCATAAAACATTTCTTGTTGCCCAATAAGATCTTCCAAAAAAATTTTTTTATCGGAAAAAATCGACATAAATATGAAATTGTTTTCTCAATTATAGACATTCGTGATTTTAATTATTTAAACTAAAATTAGAGTAAATACTTAGTAACAACTACATTATATTTCCATAATTAACTTACAATTAATTTAAGTTCTATTATGAAAATAACAAAATAGCAAAATTTTTTCACATGAATGACGCGAGGAATTTCAGAAAAAAATTATAACAAAATTGAGAGAAGTGTCTTCCCTGTAATTCTTAAGTCTAATATCTAAAAAAAGCAAAGCAAAATTATCAAATTTGGAAGGTTTTTTATAAGTTGTCTAACAATTACATAATTCAACTTAACTATGAAATTTGTTTGAATACAGTCAACCTTTAACACATTAATCTTAAACAAGCAATTAAAATTTAAATTTTTTTATTTAAATTTTAACTAGTTGAACCTAACGAGCAATTATTCTTTCGCTTAAAAAGTTAAATATTCGAAAATAAATGTTCACAACAAATTACTGATTTATAAACAACAGGGTTTTACGCAACATAGTTCAGGCCGCCTGATACGTGAGAAATGGTACTATTCATAGGGCTTTAAACATGAACACAGTAGAAGTAGAAATTCGCAAATACTCAGTAAAACACCAAATTAGAAATCAGAACAACAAGTCACCAGACCAACGAAACGCGTGAAATAATAGTAACAGCATAACTCAGCGCCTAAAAGAAGGAGGCCGACCGACAAAATCTAGGGATGTAAAAGAGTTAGTTCAACCATCTATCTACATGTAGTTAGGCACCTACCCATCTATTTCTATTTTGACATATATGTATATATGGAATTTCACATACATATTTGAATGAATTCACTTCTTAAAAGAATAAAAATTAATGTGAGTTAAAGCAAGAATGTTTTTCCCTACCTAAAATTTGAAATCAATGTGGTTACATACCTAAGTAAGGAAGGTTTTCCTTAAGATGGTTACACTAATCTTTCTTCAATTAAATTTCAAATAAATTTTTTATGGAACTTATCAAAAACTAAATGAATAATTTTGCATGTTCAATTTATACACTACAAATGATTTATTTTTAGCTATGGTGAAGGAATTCAAAGGATGCAATCATGTTTTTTATTATTAAAATACAGAAGTTTAATTAAATGAAAAATAAACTAAAGCTATTGTTATATTGGTAATATTTAGGCAGCTAGGCATACGTACTACTTAATTAGGTACCTAATTAAAAATAATTTAATAATTCTTAATTAAAGTAAGGGAAAAATTAAGTTTCTTAATATTCATTTTCTAAAATGTAGTTTTTGGAAATATAATTACATCATACCTATACCCTACTTTTGTAAAAATTTAATGCGTGATTCTTTAGTTTGATATAGATTGTGATTTCTAGTACACACACGTAGGTACATATTTCACGTTTTAATTTCTTACTTATATTTTAATCAAATTTCAGTTATATGCACTAAATCAAACACGATTGTATTTTGATTAATCATAATTTGTAACTTTGAACATCATATTTTACAAATATCTATTTATACATAATGTACAAATATACAAATGTACATATCTACATACAAATGGATATATTTTGTTTGATTTTATATAAAAAAAATTTGTTAAAATTTCTAAATTCTAATTAAATTAGAAGTTTAGCTTTTTTAATATTCAAATGCGTGGGTATTTTATTTGGAGTCAGAAATTTGCAATATGTACTCAAATCAGTTTTGGGGAAAATGAATTCCACTCTAACTATACGTGCTTTGTAAGAATTAAACTAATTTAAATATAACCTGCCCCGTTTTGAAAATTTTCATATTAAATAAAAAAAAATTTAAATTAATTTTTTTGGTCTATGTTTAATTTTTAACTAATTCAACCTTCATTTAAGCATATATTTTTTTAAATACACTTTAATTTCCGTTTTGATTGACAATTTATTTCGAAAATCCAATTTATCGTCCATTAAGGTATGGGCTAAGCATACAAAAAGTGCATAACTTCATTACTACACAATTATTATAAGTATCTACATACATACCAATTCTTTTTTTTTTTTTTTTCAAAAAAAAAAATCTCACCTAAATTTTATAGTTTTTGGCAGGTTTTTTTTATTTTAAGAGTTAAAATCAATAATATTTTAGAATTTACATTTTATTAGCAACATGATTAATTATGTTTTATTTTTTTCTTCTAATTAAATAAAAGCACACTCGCGACAAAATTGATATTTTTGGGACTTTAGAATTTAATAATTTTTCTTCTTTTTTTTTTTAACTTGGTACTACGAAACCTGGTAGTGTGACCGTGTCAATTGCTTTAGCCACTAATTTGACATTTAAAAGTACCAGGCCTTGCTTTTCCATAAGGTGCGTTTACATATACGATAAAATCTGAATTTTAATCTCCAATCATATGATTGTTTACAATCATATTAAACAAAAATTATCTGAGAAGGGTCAGGCTTTTCGTCCAAGTTTAATCTTATCCTTTGTTACAAAAAAAAAACAATAAAAAATATAAAAAATCAGCTGATTGCTGTTCAAAACTCCAAAAAAGTTAGTTGTCGCCATTTGACTATAAAAAAAACACAATAATTTCTAATATATATTTCCAGCCAAAGTTTGATGTCACACAGTTCTTACATATACGACTTTCATCAGACTCAGATTTTGTCATATACATAAAATTTAAATACAATAAGAAACGCAATAACTGCTCATGTTTTTCGAATTTGAAATATTACATTATAATTATTTTAAAGATAGAGCTCTCAGATTACAAAATTTTTGGTGCTCTGACAACCCTCTATTTGACCAAATTTAATCTCTGAGCTAAAAAGGAATAAATATCACTGATGAAATGTAAAGTTTTCAATCCAGCATATTTAACAATGCAACAAAGAGCACTCGAACAAAGAATCACAACTCAATTATATGTCATGAAATATTTTTCGCTTGGACGTTAACGCTAAGATTGTTCGATGGTAACACTTAGTTTGCCAAATATTTCACACACAATACTCTACACATGATAATACGATAGTATGGAAAGATATCATATGCATATACACATATAATGTAAAATATGTTTAATTCTTCTAAATCAAAACAAACTTATCTTTGTATTATTTTATTGAAGGTCGGGCTAGGGCATATTTTTAGCCATTAATATTTTAATATCTAACTTTTAAGAAAAAATTTATCATATTTTTAAAACCTAAATATGGTTGATTCCTATTTCGACAAAGGCATTGCACTAATTTTTGCAGATTTCCTTAGTTTAATTACAGTTTCATCATGTAAGTATTATAAAATTAATATATTGAAATTAATATGATACTAGCTAGTATGTACATATATATATAATCTGTTTTATAATAAATTATAGGTGTTTATGTCAAAATTCCTCAAATAAAAACAATACTTCAAAACAAATCTGCTCAGGGTAAGATTTTTAAATGTGCATAGTATAAATTCATAAAAATTTAGATACTATGTGCATAGTAAATGGACGTACATACTCAAATGAAAATAAATAAATATATGTATATAATAACTAAAAAATTATGTTAAAAGCATATCCTAGCTAAAATGCCTAGTTTTTGTTTTTGCACTTTATTAGTATCGTTATTTTAGGTGCTGAAAGTACATACATATATAAAACTATTTATACAAGTGTCGGATAAAGTTCGTCCGGGTGCGGCTCAACCAAAACGCACAAAAATGTAAAATTTGCATTGGAAAAATGCCTCTAACGGCATCATAGACAGTACATACAACAGAAGAAATTCATTTATGATTGCAAATAGGCATTCGTTTATGATTGCAACTATGATTGCAAATATTTTAAAGCTTAATTTAAGGACTTATTTTGTTAAAAGATCATGAGTGTTGCTTTATTTTTTGTATGAGAATGGCCTTATATTTTAAAGTGGTCGTTACTCTTGGAATGTGCACATTAGTGTTGTGAGAAGCATTTTTCCAATGCAAATTGTACATTTTTGTGCATTTTGGTTGTGCCGCACTCGGACAAACTGTATGCGACTACATAATTTAAGTATTTTTAAATTTATGTTAACTATTTTTAATGTAGTTGCCTACCTACATATAATAAATAACTGTGCTTGTATTTAAAAAAAATCTTAATCTTTTGTGTCTTGCGTAGATCTAGTGCAGATAGAATTCGCTTTAAAATAAAAATTAATAAATTTTTATAATAATTTATTTAATTGACCAAACATTCTGAGCACCCAGTTAATTAACCAAATACTTAATTATCATTACTACACTTAATAATTCTAAAAATATTTTTTTTGCATCCCTTATTTTATTTATCTTTTTCCAATTTTGAGCTTATGAGTGGTTTAAACAAATTATTGAAAAAAATATAAATTATCAACATCTATATACATAATATAAAAAGCTTTAACATTCTTTGTTTTTGCAGGAATAAGTGTTTTGGGATTATGTTTGGAATTATTTAGTTATTCCGTAATGATGTCTTATAATTATACAAATGATTATCAATTTTTATCTTATATGGAATATCCAGTTTTACTCGCACAGGAATATGTTTTAATATATGTAGTATTTAAATATAAAAATCTTTTAGAAAAGAAATTTTATTATACTGCTTTAGCATATGTCGTATACGCAATATGTGTTTACTTTAGACTAATGCCGTTAGTGATTTTATCGTTACTTGTGGTAAGTTTATATAGAATTGAATGTTAAATCAGATTCTATAAATACGTAGCTACGGTTTTGTTATACATTGTTCACTACTCAATAGTTTAAATTTAAATATTTTCAATTGGTATATCACACAAATCACAAGTAGATTTAAAAACACTTCTAGTAACATTTTTAATTTTTATAGGTCTATAATAAAGTATATCTACATAAATCACTTCGAAAACAATTTCTAACCATGAACATTGTCACAGAAGGAATGTAAAATAATTTTCTGTAGTTATTTCTTTCCTATGAAAAAAATATTTAGATGATAATTCCAATCGGTATTTAAGCAGAAAGGATACCTGGATTGTTTTTGTTATTAGAACTTTGGCAAATCAATTCAAGTCAAATGTTTTGAATCTAATACACATAATCAATACTGTTGCAGGAAAAGAAAAACTTTTAGCACATCCATACGATTTTAAAGTTTGACTAACCATTTCACTGTTTTTGTTTTCCTGTAGGCTTGTTTACAAAACTATATTAAATTTTAATCTAATGCTAAAATTTAACTTTCAGTAAATATTTCAACTTCGAAACCAATTAATTTTTGTAAAAATTTACTTTTACCCTATATTGCGAAGCATTATTTATTTGATGGATTTATTTAATCGTCTATTCAAATATTTTTATTAGTATTTATTTTTAAAAAATTTAGTTTACTCTCTTATCTATACAAAATAATATTTATTAACAACAACAATTAATATTCAGTATAGGTACATATGTAAAATTGTTTTCATCAAGTACTTGATCGAATAGGTGCGATATTTTAGTTTTTCTTTCAACTAAAATTAGATTTGCACTAGTCAAAACCATTTAAATACGAGTACTCTTAAATACAGATAAAATATTATTCATGCAAAGCATACACATACATACAACATTTGTAGGGATAAATGTTAACATTCACATTTTAATTTTGACAAAGAAAACACACATTACAAATTAAGTATAAAAATACCATGCAGCGACTTTTGTCTCAAAAATTCGCTTTCAAAATACTTTAATGTTAATTTTTGGATTACGTACCAGATATAATTTTTTGTGTTTCTATTTTTATCGAATTCTAGCCATTTTGTACCCCAATTGGTGCGACCAGTAAAGTTCTACAATTAATTGAAATTCTTAGGACGAGAGATTCTACAGCCGTTAGTTTGACAACATGGGCTTTGTCAGCTTTTACTAATTTCAGTGAGTTATTTATCAAAATAAATATAAAAATCTTTACAATTTCAACTTATGTAAATTTCAGCTCGCATTTATACGGTATTTGTTGAATCTGGTGATATGATGTTGCTAACCAATTTCATGATTTCGTTTTTGCTCAGTTCATCAGTGTATTTAGCAGCATATTTTTTCAAAAAACCAAAGATAGTATAAAGAGGCTAGTGCTACAACTTGACGCTTTTTTTTTCATAATTGAAACAGTTAAAAATACTTAGTCGTTTAATTCATATTAATTTTCGATAATTCCATTGTAACTTAAATCTTGATACAAAATCAATTTTCAATGACATACTTAGATCGAAACAACAAAATCTACAGTTATACAAGCTGCCAGTTGTACAAAAGCTAATAAGTTTCTGTTGCAAAAAAATAGTACGTTCACAAATTTTAATTATACTTAAAAGTCTAACACATTTCAAAACTTTTTAATGAAAACTGCAAAAATATACTTAAGTCTTTTTAAGATATACATAAGAATTTTAAGGGCATATCTCATTTAACAAAAATTCCCGATTTCATTTGGGCAGCTTAAACAAGAATCAAACAGTTTTGTCTAAATAATGTTTTTCTTTTTATTATCCGTACCTGACATGATGTTTTAAACATTAAAATCCTTTTTCACTAAATAGATAGTTATGATAATTTCTAAACAGTTTTATAAAAAATTGTATCATTAGACTAAAGTTAAACATTGCTTTTTAATTAATGCAAAATGTATTTTTTAAATCAGTACATTATGTAGATCATTAAAACAATTGATAATAAACCTATTATACCTGCTAAAACTTTTAGTTTTATATCTATATCTCTTTTTACAGGTCGCTCTACAACTTTCCTTTCGCGTGGTTTTTTCTTACCAAATTTTTTTTCATACAATTCCAGCTCGATGCGGTTTTTTTCTTCCTCCATTTTCTTTAATTTTTCCTCCTCATCCCTGCGTAGTTGTTCTTCGATCGCCTTTTTTTGGGCACATTTATTGTCACATACTAATTGATTTAAGCCATTTCGATGTTTATCACAAGAAATTTCCAATTTCAAATTTTTGCATTCGCAGTATATTTTAACTTTTTTTCTACATTGTTCCGGGTTGGGACAAGTTCCTGAATGACAGTTTGCAATACAACGATGCCCGCAAGGGTAATTTTTAATACAACGATTTCCACAACTTTTTAATAATTCTTGCTTTTTTCGTAATTCCTCCTCATTTGTTCCTTCACAGTAAAATTCATTACATTTGTAAATTACTTGCGATATACCGCAATGACATGCTGATTTTATATGCGCTGAACATATATCGCACGGTGGAGGATGGCATGGCTTCTTGCAACTGTGAATACAGCCTTTCGGGCGTTTCACAATACATGCTTCGGAGCAACTAATGCACCCTTCTTGTTCCTTAAAATGAAGTTCAAATTATTTTAAAATTTAAAAGTTAATTTAGAGATAAATATGTAATTAAAAGTTTGAAGTTCTTCATAAATCCGATACCTGATTGTCATCTAAATTTGGGACTACGTGACACACTTTAGTGCATGTATGATTAGTACATTTTAAAACTCGTTGACAAAGTCTTTGACAGGATGTTGGTTTAGAGTTCCAGCAAGGCCATTCAGCGATTTCATGACCTCCAATGCAACGAACCATCACTTTAATTTCGCATTTAGGATGAGGCATTTTTTTGTATTCAAACTAAAAGTCAATCATTAAATTGCATAATGCGTCTATTGTATTATTTGTAATCAATAAAAAATCAAAATACCATATTAGAATTCCAGTCCCAAATATTTGAAGTTTTTGATTGTAAAATTTCTGTTTTGATAGCGTCATGACATCTTGCTTCACAAGGATGTTCACAATTTGTTGTATTATTTTTTAGTCCACATTTTTGAATACAAGGCGGGCATTCATTTATATGGCATCGATGAGGGTTTTCATGATGACATTTAGACGGTATTCTGTAATATTTTTTATCTTATTGTATTATTTCATTTCTAGTGAAGCATTAAGAATTGGTACAATTCTCATCCAATTTCAAGATTTACAAAGAAAATAAGGTAAATAATATAGATATATCACTTTTATGACGATTTAATTATTGTTTTATTATTTTGGAATTGTTATTCTTAGTGCTTCATACAAGATAGGATCTGTTCACAAACCTACAAGGTAGCAAGCATTTAGGTAGCCTGACTTTTTTTTCCCTTCCGCATGGAACTACTATCGAAGTGTTACCACAACGACATTTAACTGATGACTTTAAATCGCAGGGGTAGCAAGGACCATCGTGACAAACTGATTTGCATTTATGCTTTTTACACGAAAGAGTTTTATTACAGATTTTATCACACGGAGGACACTGGCCGTCACAGCACTTTTTGTATAAGAAGTTTTAATAAATAAAGTTTATAAATGAATTTTACCTAACAAACACATAAACGTCACAAATTTATTATTCTCACCTTTTTATTGCAGAGATGTTTGCCACATTCTCTTATCAACTTACATTTTGTCTCACAAAAGAAACTTTTTGAACAGGGTAGTTCTTTGGTATGTTGTCCACACCGACATTTTTTTTCAATAATAGCAAGGCACTGAAAACAAATAATGGGTAATTTTCAATTCAAATACGTTTATTTTACCTGACTGCAATGGCCCTTGTGACATCTTTCACTGCAATAGTGAATACCACAATCTAGAACCTTTTGGCAGTTATCCCCGCAAGGTTCTACAGCTTCACTGCAAGGCGCAACTATTTTCTAAAAATTTTGAGCAAAATCATGTTTATATAGACACGTAGTATAAAACTTTTTAATTACATTTTTTCCACAAGGACAACTTCTGGGTAAACCTAATGGACAGTCACCGCAATCATCAGCATGACACACTTTCCTACATTTGTGTAGTCCGCAGGAGTACGTTTTATTGCATACCTAAAATATACATATGTAATATATTGATACGATTAACCATTTCGTTTTTATTAGTACATAAACCTTATTTTATGTATTATACATTGTAATTACGCAAATGTTATGTTACATATGTTGTACAAAACAAACAAAATATGCGTGAACATTTTCTTCTTTTACTTGGTACTTGTAAAACTTGTTATTATAAAACATACCTTTTTGCAATGCCAAACCAATTCTGAACAATTTTTTTGTGTTGCTTCACTTCCACATTGACATTTTTGTCTAGATTGTTTTTTACAAGGAGGACATTTTCCCGTTGCATGACAAACTTCTTCACATTTATGAATTCCACAAGGTAGTAGTTTCTGACACTAAAATTTAGTCCAAAATAACACATTACTAAATATGTATATTTAAATTTAATAATACTTTAATATTGCAGTTCCATGTTTTATTGAAACAGCGAACAGTCTTAGGCTTAGATTTTCCACAATAGCATGCTGTGGAGACGTATTGTGGGCAAGGTGGGCATGGCCCTGGATGACAAAGTAATAAACATTTATGGCCACAATAGGGTTCTAAATATTTTTCGCATTTTTCTCCGCAAGAATGTGGAATTATCCAAGGATGGTATGGCGGATTCACTTCTTTTTTACAAAAGCATTCATACAGCCTTGGTATACTCTCAACGTTATAATTACTTCGACATTTTGGGCAGCACCATCGTACGGGTTTACATTTCTTTGGTATAAATTCTCCTTGGTTATTATAATAACCTACTTCATCTTCTTGATTCAATTTTTGTTGCACGATGCTATCATTGGCCCATCTTTTTATGCAATTGAGATGGAAAAAACCTAGAAATGAATGTTCTTTTAATAACTAATCTCTGTATGGAATAGGTTAATTTTACAATAGCAGTTAATGCAAGACCATATCTTTTCAACTCTTTTAACTGTTCCAATACATATTAAACAAATAGCTGAACCGGATTGAAAAAAATTTTCCAAAAATGCTCGACTTTTTACAACTTGATCGGAATCTCCAGAATAACCTTGAAACACTTTATCTAAAATAGATTCTTCATTCAAATCCTCTTCCTCTGAGCTGGATTCATAAATTTCGGCTACCGGTTTAAAATTTTCATTTTTTTGTCTCTTAGCCTCATTTTCGGAAGATTTTAAAATTTTGTTATTTACTTTTTTACTCATCTTCATTTACAAGAAAAATAAATTAAAAATATAAGAAAATATTAATAACTTCACTAAATTTGACTTAACAAATGTGTGATACGATTCCACGGTGTCGCTTTAAGTTTCCCAAAGTTTTGATAGATGGCCGAGTGGTATTTTTTGACATGTACAGAAAAATTGATTATGGGAACGTAAATAAGACACGTCATTGAAAACATCATACATACTCCAACGTTACTGTACAATAGGTCTTCTAAAGTCGTCTGGTTACAAGTATTCATAGTTTTTGATTCATATATAATATAAAACATAGGAGATAATTTTTTTGTATTCATTTCCGAACATTCGAAAGGTTTTTATAATAGTTTCTTAAGATCCCTCCACGAGAGAAAAAAACAACAAATAATTGTATTACGTACAATATCTTCTATCAACAAGGCTTCTTACTTAACAGGAAATGAATTTGTATATCTTAAAAGAAGTGTTGTGCATACGCTCAATGCAATAATGTGTAAATGGCCCCAATGCGGCCATTTCAATATCAATTTAAATAAATTTAAATCTGACAGTAAAAAAGCTGGCTCGACTCTTAGACAGCGTTTACGCATCAAGCAAAGTTTGACAATTTTGCTTGGCGGATTGAAATTTAATAAAAATTTGTCTAAAAACCGTATGAGAAAAAATTGAATCTTGTCCATTTATATCAAACTTTTGGACAGAAATAAATAAATAAAATGGCGGGGATATATTTTGCTCTTTAGGAGCGCAGTGAGCAGATATTTTTTGTGAAGTTTACCCAGCATTTACACGTACAAGTTACTTGCAAGAAAGTTGCAATACATACAAAAATTTTACTAACACATTGAAATATTTCTACTTGCTTGTTTACTTGCAGTTCAACTTGCAAGAAAATTTTGCTGCCAGTAATTTGAGCAAGTAATTTGACATATTGAGAAATTCACAAAAAAAAATTTGTTGTTTTGATTTTTTTTTTTTTAATTTAAAATTTTTGAATTTTGTTTTGAAAAAATTAAACTTAGCAAACTTATGGTTTCTAAAATTTATAAACAATTATATATATTGCTAGTTGTTTTCTTCTCAAAGACATTTTCAAAAATTAACTTGCTAAACGCCTACGTCATAATAGCAAGTAATTTGACATTTCGAAAAACTAATTGACAATTAATATTATACAAACTTGCATGCAAGTAACTTGTATGTGTAAATGCTGGGTTATATTTTTTATATAGTTTATAATTGTTAAAAATAGCTCAAAAAAATTATTATTGGAGACAATTTAATTGAATTTATTAAAGCTTCTAATTAAAAAAAAGTGTTTGTGTAGCAACGTAAATTATTTTTTCTTAGGTTATTAATTATTTATCTTTCTTTTTATTTTAAATTATTTAATTTTTCTTAAATTATTTATTTTTCACTTATTTTTATTTTTCAAATACATCACTGTCACATTTCATCAAATAATGCTTCATATGTAAACCGAATTTCTCATTCAATTTCATAGTTGACAAATTTAATCGTTAAACTTTGTTTGATTTGTAAACGGTGTTTTACGCTTTTTCTGTGGTGATACTCGTGCAGTGATTGTCGCCAATGTTTAATGTCAGTATGTATATGTAACGGAACGGTAACACTCGCATGTGACATCTTTTAGTATCAGTTGCTATATTTTATTCAGAGAACAAAAATATTAAATAAATATGGGTAAAAAAACGAAAAATGCGAAAATAAAAACTATAGAAAATATAGAAAAAGAAAACAATGAAAATATAATTCTAAAGCCTCATAGATCTTCAGATGAAATTGAAGCTCGAAAGGTATTTATTACATTATTTGTAAGTACCACTATATTTATTTGTACTTCTAGGAGAAATGGATAAACAAACAGCGTGTTTTAGTGTTTGCAGCACGTGGTATAAGTCATCGCGATAGACATTTAATGAAAGACATAAAAACACTTATGCCTCATCATAGAGTAGAATCGAAAATGGAAAGATCTAAGACATTGTCCATTGTTAACGAAATTTGTGTAATGAAACATTGTAATAAATGCGTTCTCTTTGAGGGCAGAAGGAAACGAGATTTGTATATGTGGTTAGCCGATGTAGTAGAAGGACTTTCAGTAAAATTTTTAATAGAAAATATTCACACAATGGGGGAACTAAAATTGACTGGAAATTGTTTGAGGGGCTCCCGACCTTTACTTTCTTTTGATTCGAAATTTGATTCATTACCTCATCTTAAATTAATTAAGGAATTATTAACTCAAATATTTGGAGTACCATTCCATCATCCGAAGAGTCAGCCTTTTGTTGATCATGTATATACTTTTACCTATCTTGACAAGCGGATTTGGTTCAGAAATTTCCAAGTATTATCTGAAGACGGAGGTTTATCGGAAATTGGTCCCCGTTTTGTTTTAAATCCAGTCAAACTTTTTGAAGGTTCTTTTACTGGGAATCCTCTTTGGGAAAATCCAGATTACGTCAGTCCATCAAAACACAGACAAATATTAAAAAAAGTAGCAAAAAATAAATATGTTAACCGGCTTGAACAAAAGGTTACACGGGAAGCTAGGACTCCTAAAAATGCTTACGAATATGACGAACTTGACGATATTTTTGAAAATAAAGATCCAATAACTTTAGCCGGAATCATCAATGGTAAGTTTTTACAAGTTATTCATATTCGATTAGATTTTTTTTTCAAATAAAATAATTTTTCAGAAAAAAGCAAAAAGAAAGATGCTAAAAAAGCTAAACTGCTGGAAAAGATTAAAGACAAACAAAATAATATAATCAAAAATATTAAAATTAACAAAAAAAAGAAAGAAGAAACTGCACATTAAATAAAACGTATTTTATTTGAAAAAGAAGTGTATAAAAGTTATATATATAATTTCAATATACAAAATTCAAAATAAATAAATATAAACAATTATAAATTATTCGAAAAATTATTTAGTCTTAAAATTAAATTAAATAACTGAAGCTAATTATTCTATTTCAAGATTAAGCTCTTAAAAAATTATGTACGTAATTAAAAACGAAAATATTAATGTAAAAATTGAGTTCTGCAGAAGTATAAGAGAATTCAGAAAGTGAAATAATTTTAAATACAGTATCTACTAATTTTAAATTTTCAAAAATTCAGAAAAAATTTCATATGTAATACACTTGAATATTATAACGGGTTTTAAATTTTTAGATAAACGAAAAATTATTTAAAAAGCCAAGAACGTATTGACTTAAGAAGATAACGAAGACTGTGTTGTAAAGTTATACAAAATTTGGATACGGTGGACGTAATTTTAATTTCAATTTTTCTTTTAGCCATAGGTAATATTTTACATAACGTAGATCTATATAAATTAATAAAGATAATTCTTTCATATAAAGAAAACATTATGTAATAACAAGTTGCAAACTTTTTACACAATTATACGACTATTAATTATGCGATATAAAGAGTGCCTTATAATAATGAACATGTATTATTGAAAGTGGCAAAAGAACTTAATGTAAAAGAATACAACACTTAAAAATATCGCTGAATTCCTTCTTGGAAGAATAAATTAAAATAATACTTAAATTTTACGCCATAATATTATGAAAAGGTTGTTTATTAATGGGTGTCATTTCAACCGCTTGAATTGGTCCTTCAATATCATCATTCGGCTCTTCTCCAACAAGCTTAGCTAAATTACTCTGTTTCCATCGTCCAGCATTACCATTGATAGTTTTGTCTTCACATACGCATAAAAATAAAGTATCTACTACAACCTAAAAATTTTTTTGTTTTTAGTAGTGATAAAGTTATATGAAATTTTGAATATACTTCAAATAATGACAACACTACATGGGCTATAAAAAATCCAAAAATTGTAATGAAAACAACAGGTGCAACATAAAAATGTATATCCTCTCGGTCTTTTAAAATAAGTACACTAACTAAGCCACATATTGTTGCCACCATAACTTTTCCCAAAAATAGGATAAAGTCCCCAATGCTGTTAATTGTAGCAACTTGAAGTGCATTTGTAGCCATTGCATTCCACGCCTATAAAAACAAATTATAATAAATTTTCGATTATATATTTAATACACTTACAATTCCAGCAGCCGGACAAAAGTTAATTGATTCGATAGCGATTACCGTATACGCGTTATGATTTAAAAATCTTATAAATTTCTCAAGCAGCCAAAATCCGCAGATACAACAAGTTAAACAGCATTTAGCGCATTGGGATCCCTTATCTTCAGACTTTTTCAATCTGTAAAATTAATTTTTCAAATCAACCAAAGCAAACATTCAGAATCTTTCAATAAAAATTTTTAGTTATGATACTTACTTGGTATACAAATAAGTCAAAATTAGACGAGGAATTTTAAAAATAGTAATAACAAAAGATCCTTTGGCAACCGATCCCAAATGGTATTTCAGCAATTTTCCTAAAAAAAAATTTAACCAAATAAACATACTCGAATATACATATTCATAATTAACGCAAATCTTACCAATAGCATATGTGGAGGGAGAATCAGTTGGCTTTTTGAAATACCAATAAGCAACAGCACCAGCAAGAGCAAATTGTTGGCATGCAAAAATGAATTCTGTATGCCAAATTAGGCCAATAAAATAGATCCAAAGCATACTTTTAATCCAAGATGCGTCTTTATATTCAACTTTAAGAAGAGCTACAAATTTTTTTCATGATTATTTTTTTCGTTGGTAAAAAATTATGGTAACCTACTTTTATAATCACTATCTGAATTTACTTTTTCTGTAGATCCTGTTAGGGCCGTATTGTTTGAAGGAATACCTACTTTTCCAGCACTAGTTAATGGAATTAATGGTGTCATGCCGGGATAATTTGCAGTCACAATGCAAACAACTACGAACACCCAAAATGCTAAAAATATTGTTAAAAATAAAAAGGCTATTGTTGGAGCTATAGCTAGGCCTGGTAACGACAGCATGCATTTTCCCGCTTCCTCAAAAAGAGCCGCCATACCAGAAAGTTTTGATTTTAAATAATACACAATGATAATTAAAAGTATCTAAGAAATGAAATAACGTTATTCTAATTTAATTCTGAATTTGTAAACCATATACCATTATTATAGTGGCAATAATAGCCAAAACATAGATAGCTGTTTCATTTCTAAGAAATTCTTCCAACATTGAATACTTTACACTCAAATCCTTTTTTTGCTTCATGCTATAATATGCCCACCATAAAACAACCGTAAATGCTATGCTGGCGATCACAACAAAAATGCATATTAACCAAGAAACTATTTTTGTAAGCCAATGCATAAATGCTACTAATATGATGGAAAGTACTAAAAATTAAAATGAATTGTATTTAGTCAGTAAGAAACATTGAATTTAAAAAAGAACTTACAAAGTGCGAAAGAAGCCAACAATGCCATTATTGGCCAAGTTTTGTACAAATCACTAAGAAATTGTTGTGCAATATCCCAGTTATTGAGGAGTTTATAAGCATTTTTTATCATTTCTTTTGGAGCATTTTTTCCCGTTGGTAAACATCTGTGAAGTACTGGAGTACTAAAATTAAATATATTTAGTAAAAGATTGAATTTTATTGCAAATACAATTAAATACTAAACCTTTCGTAAACTGGAAATGGTGGACATGGTCCTAATAAATTGAAATATTTCATTGAAGGATTTTCACGTTCCAATAACAAGCTCATATTAAAATCGTAACGGCATAGCTGAGACTTAGTGTCAACATAATATCTATAAAGCTCATCTCTGTTATTGATCTGCCTATTGGGGCATTCCTTAACGCAAATTTTTATTGTCTGTCGCAGCTCTTTAACATCCAAGAAAAATAAATTGGGTTCCTCAAGAGTGTTTCTGCCTGATAGTGGAAAATCGGAATATTTATCATTAGATTTAACTCCACAGGTATTTCCGAATGAGTCATATCCATTTATGAGACGAAGTGGATTACCATAAACAAATGAAAATATGGCTATGACGATCTGTATGAAAATAATAATAATTTGGCAATTTATACAAATATATGTGGATGGATTTTAATTAAGCAAGAAAAAAACTAAAAAAAATAAGGAAATTTAGGAAACAAAAAAACTAATGAGGAATCAAATTAATCTAATTTCCAAAATTTTCTTAAATTATGTCATCAACTAAAACTAACAAGTATGTAATATAGAATGTCTATATCGTCCAATAATAAATCTACTCAATAATTTTATGGGGAATTTTACTTTGGAATGTATGTAAAATACATATTCTTACCTTCACTATTCAAAATATTTTCATTTATCAACATATTTATCTTTCTTTGGACATAGGTAAACATTAATTAGAAAAAAATGAGATCATCAGCATTTAACTTTAAGGGCGTTTAGTTGAAATATTTTAACATAAAAACTACTTACCAACAAGAGCCAAAATATTCCAAACAATATTAACCAAAATACATCTGTACACACACGATATTTTGGACGTTCAGTCTTGCTTTCTGCACAACCCATAGCTCTTAATAAGCTATTTGAATTTAAAAATAAATGTTCTCAGATCGCAAAATTGAATGATTTCTTGCTAACATAACTTTGACGAACCAATAAACAATTAAGTTTGTTATTTGTATGATTTATGAATGAATTTTACTTTTCAGTGCTTCCAATTTTTTAAAAAATTCTAATACTGGAAAGAGCATCGAAAAGGAGTAGAATATGCCAATTCCACTTAACGTAACGTACGTATTAAGTTTAATTCCGTAGCATCAAAATAGCAGTCAAACTGTATTGAAACATTAAAATAAGAAAATATTTAAAATTTTTTTTAATTATTTCAAAGCAGTGCAAGCCATTAATACGTATATGATGCAAACTTGTAAAATTTTTATTACATTTGAAAATTTACACATATACCTATGAATATGCATGGACTATTTCTTTTCCTTTTTTCTGTAATACTGGGACTGGTTGTAGCTTGCTCAGTGTTCTTTTGTGTTCTTGGACTCATATTTGCGTTGGTTTAATTTTAGGTTTCTTTGTTTCCGATTTTAGCAGTTTCTTCAGTTCATTTATTTCTTTTCTGGTTTCTTGTATTTGTTTTTCAATGAATTTTATTTTATCAAATTCATTTCAACTACATATGTATTTCTGTTAGCAATTAAGTCATCCTTCTCACTGGTTTGCTGTTTATCTGAATTTTTTCTGCTTCTAGATGTTACCGAGTGGCTCCTTCAATTAGCAATTAATGGCTTTAGATCTGTTAGTCAATCACCCCGTATTATGTTTTTCGAACCTTTAGTTTTCGTTATTTTGTCTGACAATGGGGTGTCCTTAGTAACGTCACCGCTTACTGATGTCAGATTGCTCGCTGTTTTTCTTCCAGTAGCATTAACTATGAATTCGGGTTGGTAGTCCACCAATTCAATGTGCTTTAAGCCGGGTCAGCTGAACCAAAGCTTTTTAGCGAGGTTGATACTCCCCCCTCTCTTTCTTTCGCATCCGTGCTTGAGACCGGCAATGGCGGATTATAAAACAACTTTGAAATTGAATCTGTCATTACTACCTGTGGCTTGACTTCTATACAACACCTAAGAACGGTGTTACGTAATACTGCAATTAAACTGTATAAAAACAATATTCACTACATTTTAGATGTCAATTTATTTATTTACTGTAACTTCGAGCTGCTTTATATCACGACGAAATTTAAAAATAAAAGACAAATAAAATTTGGATTCGGCAGCAAAGTAATAATAAAAGTTAAAACTCTATTTTCAGATCTATATTTATATTTACAAAATGCTATGGTACATAGTAACACCATAGGATGTACGGTATGTCAAAACGGCATTGGTACGTTTCTTTTTTTTTTTTTTAAATTTTTCTTTAAATTGTAAACTTAAAATTGAACACAACAGAATATGAAAATATAATCAATGAAATAAAATGTTTTAGTACTTTAACGATTTAAAATTAATGTAATAAGCAAATAATTGTAAATAATATTTAACATAAAATATAAAATACAGTTAGCTAAAGAAAAATTAAAAAAAATGTCAATATGTCATGCACATTGATCTAAAAAATTAAAATTTTAAAGGCAAATAAAGAATTAAAGGATAATTGTAAAAAATTAAAATTTTAAGGGAAATCTTTCTTTCAACTGATTGGGAAGGCTTCTCAGAAGCAATAACAAATTCGAAATTTATACTTTTAAAATATTCCAATAAATGATATTGCGATAGATAGCAGTTGAGTAATAAAAAACATTATTCAATTATTTTTCTTTAATTTTAAAATTATAATAGAATATATATGTATAATATATGTACATACATATATGTATACAATTTTATGCCACTTTGTATTTGTAATAGTCTAATACTAATTGATTTCTGTTTGTCTCTAAAAATATTTAAATTTTTATTAGATTTTGTATTTAAAAATCTTAGTGCATGCATATTTTTGCATATTACTTGTTACTGCTAGAATTAATAATGCATAATGCTAAATAGCTCAAAGTAGTCTCACAAAAATAGTATGTACAATATAACGTTACATAACTTAGTTAATGTATTGGAACTAGATAACTAAATCTTAAAAGAAATGGAAGAAGGGAATTTATTGTGAGAATTCGAGTTGCACTCATGAAAATGCACATAAATATGCATTTTTTTTTTAAATAAAAAAAAGGAAGAACACATCGTATAATATATAGCTGTGAGTTTATTAACATTCATGTTTTTTATTTTATTTTTTGTTTTGCCATTTCCCGTTTACAATTCAATATCACGAGCAAAATTTATCTTTATTCATGTGTGTACTTTAATAATAATAAGGATAACATAAGTGTTTTATAATTCATGCTTAGCAATAATAACATTGATAATTTCTATATCTAACATAACTGCATTTTAACGTAATTTGTTCATTTATTAGCTTGAAAATTATTGACTTTTTAATTAAAAATCAATCTTTTCTTGCTAGCTAAAATTTTACTAATACATTTTTTTTTTGTTACTTGATAATATACTACTTAGTTATATATTAACGTAATTTTTATGAAAATTTCATAGAACTTTTAAATTTATATTAAACTTTTTTATTAAAGGTTTTTATCTAGGTGGTAAAGGGGGAGGGGGTCCCCGATTTGGTATAGCAGGAGCTGTTTTTACTGGGGTTGTATTGTTACGATTAGGTATTGGTGGAGGAGCTCCAAGTTTTACTTCTCTTTGGTTTTCTGGAGGCTGCTGGACTGAATCGACATAATTAGATGGTAAGGGGGGTGGAGGCATATTTGGAGGTTTATTATCACCATTACTCTTTTCCTTATCCTCTGAGTTTTCTAGTGGTTTATTAGAATCTCCCACAAAATTTTCATGTGAAGCTTCATTTTGAATATCAATATTTTCTACTGGTTTTTCGTTTTCTGCTGATGGATTTATTTTACTTACTGTGTTAAGATTATTTATAATGTTGGAAGGATTACTAATAACTCCAGCATGTGGCAACATTTTTGGTGATTTCGGTAAAGGAGGTCTGGAAGGAGGTTGATTTGGTGCAGGTGGCCTTGCTGGAGGCTGATTTGGTCTCTTCGGAATTTGAGGAGTGCCCATTTTTTTTTCGGGAGTTTTTTTGTAATTACTCAAAGCAACTGTATTTGTCGTAAAAAGACTTATCTCACGCTCTACCTGAGACACCCAATTCTCAGTTTTTAATTGAAATATCAGGTCTAAGCCACATATTTGGTTGAATTTTTTGTTAACAACTTTAAGCGCAGATTCTCCCTCTCTAAATGTTACCCACATGGTATTTTCCACATAACGGACAAGTGTGATTTCCCCCATTTGAGATAATTCTTTAATGACACCACTCATTACATTTTCGTCATAAATCGATAAATTTTCTTCGTTTTCTTCGTTCTGCACGTGAACTACAATTGTGGCATCTGGAGGACCCAGATCAGAAATAACTTCTTTGAATACTTCATTTCTTTTTTCTGTATCAATTTCCGCAATGTCGATATCAAGCACAGCTGTAACAGGTCTATGGTCACTTTGCTTAAGCTCACATCTTCCATAATATATTAATTTTCCAGGATTCCAATCATCTATTTCATCCATTGCAAAGAGCATTGATTTTTTTTTGTTCCAAAATACTCTGTCTGTGTAGGCCGGTGCTCTCATTTTTTCACTAGTGTCATAATCTTCGCTAAATAAGTCATACTTATACGTTGGATCAAAAGTAATTTCCCCTTCTAGAAAATCATTAAAAACATTTCCAGCTTCTTGTTCTTTTCTTAACTGATCCTGTTCAAATATTTTCTTGTACTCTTTGTTCCGAATAGCTTCTTTTAGTTCTTCTTTATCCATGTCAATTCGATAATTAAAATCACCACACCAAAATATATAATCATGTGTTTTCAAAGTCCTGCCCATGCCAAATGAAAGTTTTTTAGTGATTTCAGAAAAATCTGCGTTTCTTTCAGCAACTTGTGACTGACCAGCAGCAAAGTGAGAGCAAACGAAACAAACCGATGTTCCATACAACGTGAATCGTATAGCGGTTGCCCCTTTATTACCAGTAGCCCCGCCTAATCCAGTTTTAACCCAATCGATTGCCAAATCTCTAACAGCAGAGGCATACTCTGTACGTATATAAACGTATAAACAAACACCAACTAATTGTTGATACGTTAATAAGACATACGGATCATGATTGCACAAAGTTCTTAATAATTCTTCTGCCCATATTTTAGCATTTTCCGTACTTGAGGCTACGATGTTACTTGTATTCAAATCAACAATTTCTTGAAACCCAATTGCATATACATCAATAGGAACTTCGCTTTCACTCTCATCTGTAACATCAATAAGAGAACCCCTTCGGAAATACTGTGAAGCCAACAACCAATCATCCAAAGAATCTTTATATGCTACGCTACGAAAATGTTTGCCACCATTGACGTTGTAAGTACATACCGCGACTCTCATTTGTTTATTTTTAACAAAACTTTTATGGCGTTTACACATTTCACGTAAAACTGGTGTTGGAGCATGTAACATGTTTAATGGCAATAAAGTTCTTGCAATGTCTGCAGGTTCCGAGCTCAAAGTAGAGCCTACCAAAAGTATGTCGATTGCCTCCTGTTTTGAACTATCCAGTAAATTATTTTGAATGGTTCTAGCAGCAGAACGGGCGCCATCCATTATCTTTGATCCCCCTTGAATTGCTCCAGTTCCAGCGTAAATTTTACTAATTTCATTTCCGTTATTAATCCACATTTGGGTGAAAATTTCTTCAAATCTTGAAATTGATTGTTTTTTATCTGCTAATCCGAGGGCAATTATTTGATCTTTTAGAGAATCAAGACCAAAAAACGTTTGAACGCAGTTAGTACGATCTAAACAATCCAAGCAATTTGTTCTAATTGTACCTATTTGTTCTTCTAAAACTTCTTTGCCATTAACATGAAACAATCCATAGTATGCCTGACACTCTTCAATTTTAGCTTTAAGTTTAGATAACGCAGCTGTATTTCCACCACGGCATTCTTGATGGTAATCAAAAATTATATGAGGCACCTCAATATATTTTGATTCGTTGTGATGTTTTTGAAATTCCATACTTAAAGTGGCTTCTCCTTCTTTGCTACCGACCAAACTTGTTCCTAATAAATTAACAATAGCGAACTGGCCATATTGAGTTTTCATTATTTGCATGTGCTTCTCAAATGCTGAGATACTGGCTTCAAATCCTCGAGAAATTTTCACTTTGTGTGAACCAACCTGTATACCTGGCTGCTCCCAAAATAAGGGAACTGAACCTCGAGTTTGAACAAAACTTGTTATTTGATTATCCAAATATATGACTTGTTCAGTTTCTACAAAATTTGCTACATGGCCATCGTCATTAGTACCACGAACATTAAACCGTGTCCCAGCACGTTCACAACTCAATCTAGATATAACAGCTGCCCGAGCTTGTTTACTTCCAACATAAACAGTTCTTATTTCTATTGAACCACACATTACTTTGAGAAGCCAAGCATCACAGTCAATATCAAATCTTAAGAGATGTATGTGCAACATTCTATTCCAAAAAAATCTGTTATCCGTTTTTTCTGTTCGTTGACGTCGCTGAGCGCACAGTGTAATTTCAAAAGTAGACGTCTCATTGGATGATGGGTTTGTATGAGCAAAGTAAAATGTTCCAGAATTCAGTACTTTTCTCACTTCACTTGTTTTATTTTCTTGAGAAGTTTCTATTTGTAATGGGACGAACTGGGTTTGTGTTATTCGAAAAATTTCAATTTCATTGATTTTTCCTACTGAAGATACTCCGGTAACTAGTACAAGATACAGAAGAGTAGTTTCAATATTATTTACTTGAAGAACTCCCAAACAACCATAAGCATCACATACTTTCGTATACTGTTTTTTTATTTGTTCTGCTTCCTGCTGTGATAACAACGCAACTACTTGAGACTCAAAAAGTAGACTTTCAGGTTTTTGTCGATCTTCCAACAAAATACTGTAAGGATTTGGTGCTTGAGATTTCTCTAAAACTCTAATTGATTTTGACAAAGCCATTTTTGGAGGAACACAAATATTTTGTTGGTCAATGTAAATAGTTGTATGCACAATTCTCTAATGCGAGATTAAATTTATTTAACATCTTTGGTTTAGTTGAACGTGTTTTTATAATATACTTTTTTAAATATTTTAATGGTTATTGATTGTTTAAATAAAATAAATTATTTTATCAATTAAATTTACTTTTTACTTTGCAAGTATAGGAATGTATTAGAAGTAATATAGTGTTTTCCACGTTACCAAGTTATATAAAAACAAAATGCCAAATCTGCTGACTATATTTAGCTACATATATAACTTTGTTGAATTTTCCATGCTAAGGCTAATTTTTTTTGCGAAACTTAACTTTTAGAACTGATTAGTATGACGTTTTTCTGTATTTGGTTTGTGATATACAAAATTCAACACCCACTCATGAAAAATCATGTGTATTAATTGGAGTTCTAAAGTAAACGGTTAATATTCCAAATCCCTATTGTTATTATCCCTGGTGTTATTATCTAATAGCGTGATATGAAAGATAAATTTGAAATGCGTATCTTATGGCGCAAACACAATGAGCCCGCATTTCAAAACTTATAAATTTGACGTTTAGAAAAATGTTTAATATTCCATGAAACACGAGATGCTACTTTCAATATAAATAGAATATGACAGACAATGACTGCGAAATTAGAAAAGGAACTAATTTTGGACTTGCAATTTACTATTGCAGTTTCATTGTGTGCGATTTCCTTTAATAACCCAGACTCTATTTATTTTGCAGTTGTCAAATTTTTTAGTTTGAAGTGTTGCTCTGTTATTTTATGCAAGTTTGAATTTTCGTTTGTAAATTTTATTGACAAGTTCCATTTAAAAGTCCATTTAACTTCAAAAATGTTGACAATATTAAAAAATATTGAAAAAGCATTCTACAATCAATTTAAGAAAGCTCTTTAAAAAAGTAACTAGTTAGAAACATATTCCTCCTTATTCTGCTAATCGCGTCTCTGACATGATAAAAAAATCGATCACACCACCTCAAATATACATTTCTGGCAGTCGTTGATGTGATGCTAAAGCGTTTTTTAGTTGTAATATTAACAGGATGATATGTCACAAAAAAACATCAAAGATATGGTAAATTCTTAAACGTCAAATTTTACAAAATCTGAGTTGTCTGAGTTTACGAACACTCTACTGCGTTTTTACTTTCAGTCAAAGCTTAAATTCTTAAACTTTTAAAAAAAGTCAATCAAGCGTCAAAATTGTAGATTTTTTTTTACATGCAGACAGTCTGACGTAGTAATTCAGTAAATAAATTTGATGTATTACGTTAAAAATAATATAAAAACTATTTTTTTTTGTTAACTTTTAATATGTAAGTATAAAATTATTTTAAATCTAAAAAAAATTTTTTTTGTTTTTACGTTTACGGATGATTAAAATTCAAAGTCAATTACGGGTAAAAAGTTTACTACATTTCTGTCCGTAAATGTTTTACACGTCAGACAGTTTGCAGACTGAAAACAAAATTTTGACGTTAAAGAATTTGCGTATACCGCAAATTCTTTAACGTCAAAATTTTATTTTCAGTCCGCAAGCTGTCTGACGTATAAAACTATTGGGAAAGCGAACGAAATGAATTTGGCGAATTCGGCAAAAATTTTAATTCATGATAGGTGGAAGAATTCATTAAACGCCATTAAAATAAACTCGAAGTAGGGGAGTTTAATCAAAATATTTTCTTTTCATTCACCACGTTTGTCTCGCAGAATGTCACAATAGTTATTCTCCATAAAATTAATTTGCCAAATATAGTAGTACAAAACCTTCGTAAATATTCATTGAGCATTGTTCTGGCGATCAAAAGGACCCAAAGCGTGGACTAAATATTGATTGGCTCGTAGATTTTAAGCTGAATTTTCAAGTCGAAATAATGTTTCTATTGATAGTTCATGGGTTCCTCTGGTATAAGCTTAGAGTATTTTATTAAACTTTAGTTAATTTTATTAAACTGGTTGGATTCGCGTTTGCACTTTTAACAAAGATCTGTAATGACAGTACGTTTTTGTAGGTCGCTACAAAAAGCATTTCGTTTTTAGAATTGCAAAATATCTTCTGTCAAATCGAGAACAATTCTTTTTTATGCTTTTATATTCACAATCTCAATCCGTATGGACACACGAGTCTTAATTTTATTTCATTGCTTGAATTTTCATACTACGTTCCGTCCTTCTTTCCGTTATACTACATTTGTAGTATTGCAGTTCTGAAATTTCTGTCTTCTTTTTGGAATCCAAAATTTTTTGAGGCGAACGTTTGAATCTACTACCACAAAGAAAAATTTTTCTGTTTATATTCTTGTTATTTATTTATTAAATTTCGAACGATTCATATCTTTGTAATACCAAATAGAAAAAGAACGCAAAATATTGCTTTCTTTTATTTTATATAATCGCCTACTTTTATATTATCCGTTTTTTTTATATCCTTCTTTCCTCAAAATTTTATTTCAAATACATAAACATACAAAAGACTCAAATTTTTCAAGGTTCAAAAATAAAAATATTGTCAAAGAAAGATGAATCGTGTGGTCTCGGTCAATTAGTGAAGAATTCAATTAGTAAAGATTAAAAATCAAAATTTTTGACACCAGAGTTTTAATAGTTCTATAACAATGCAGTTTTAACTGCTTAATAAGATCCCCCACAGTCAGAACTGCGAAAGCGAGTTCAACCATTCGTTAATCATTTCTCGTTATATGCGTTAGAAATATAAATTCTTCGAAGTAAAAAGTAGTTAGTATATTATGAACACTTGTTACGGTAGAGCATAAAATTTTACTTTCGCCATTTCATTTCCCAAAAAATTAACTGTACTTTGCCTTCCACTTTAACGTTTTTACTTCGATAAGTTTTTAACAATTATTTTGTTTAATAATTATTCGATTAAATTAGTACACAAATTTTTATTTAATATTAATTATAATTATATTTTATGTAAACCTTACATGTAAATATATATCTTAGCTTTCTCTTGTTAATATTTGTAATAACTAACTCTAAATCAATTGCTTGCATTTTAATTATATGAAATAAAAATTAAATGTCAAATTCGCTTCATGTAAAAAAATAAAAGTACATAGTTATAATCTTTTTTACTTTCATTTTTCTTTAAATTATTTTTTTTTAATATAAGATTTAGAAATTAATTAAATGTTGATTTAAAAATTTGAACAAATAAAATTCTAGAAAGTTATAAAAGGCCTGCTTTAAAAAAAAACCGTATTTTATGACAATTTTTAAAATATAATTACTTTTTAGATTATGTACTTTATTTTTGTCGATTTTGATGTTCCCCAGAGCTTTCATTGCTAGTAACCAGTATTAGCTGAGCCTGTCATAGGATTTTAACTCCCATATTGTATTAAAATTACATTTTCTTTTCAGTTCCAAACTATGAAATATTATATAATATGTCTGTACATACATATAATAGGTTTTGTATATGTATTATATGATGCATGCATATACATATATACATAATATGTACATAAGTAGATAATTATACTCCAAGAAGGACGTTTATATGTAATTTGATTTGGGGGTTTAGTCACGCTTTTTTTATTTAATTGTTGTTATTCAATTTAAAGTTATAAAATTTATACTTATTTTTATTGTTTGTACACAAGTTCCGTTAAACTAAAATTAAATTATTTTATCGTCAACGGAGTTGTATACATTTTCGTGTTGTCATTGACGTGGTGGAGGCACTTGTTCCCGATATGCCTTTAATTTTGATTCCATTGCCTAAAATGACAAATAATATTGCAAAAAATATATAGAGAATTATCATAATTTTTATAATAGTTGAATGTTATTAAATGAATTCTTGAATGATATTTAATTTTTACTCTTATAGTTAATGGTATATACATAGTACATATTTATATTTTGTACTTTAACTAATTAATTTCTTATTCAGATATCTAAAATCAAATTAAAAATAAAATATTGATTTTGTTGAATTGATTGAGTGTATGTATGCATGTATAAAATGGAAAAAAAAAATAAAAAGGAATGGGTATGCATGATTTGGATTCAAATTAACTTCATTTACAAAATTAAAATAAAAAAAAAAATAGCTGAACTAAATTTAAAAAATAGGAAATTATCTGAATACTATTTTACATTTATTACAAAATTAAAAAAGAAATGGGAAAAAAATTAAATAAATAGAATTAAATAAACTTATAAGTAGATTTAAACGAATATTGCGACTTAAGAACTTGAAAATACATACACATATAATGTAGAACTGATGTGGGTCACCAAAGTATGTATAGTTTTTATTTACAAAATTAATTTCAGTTTGATAAAACATTTTTTTAAATGATTACCGAATTTGTTTTAAAATATTATTCCTAATTATTTATAAATTTTTTTATAAAAACATATTTTACGAAATATGAAAATAATAGTTTCTCTATTAATTGTGGAAATAGTTTTGCTTAATTCAGCTTCTTGTTATGGATATCCTATTTTAAAATCCATCATTCTTATATTTCATTAGAGTGATAAAAGAAAAAGGGTATTTTTTAAAACTGCATCGATGCACTTTTACCCAATGGTAATTTTAAAACACAGGTACATCATTTATATAGTATTATAATATATTATTAAGATTATTATTATTATTAAGATAATGTATATTGATATAATAATATAAATTTTAAAATAAAGGATGGAAAATGAAAATATGTGTTCTGAATTTAGGCCTATATAAAATATATCGTAGAACAAATGGTGGCATTATAATTACTATGATATATATGTATATACACCTTTGGATGATTCGGAAAGACTTTGTTATGTTTTCATTACTATCTGTCACAGTAAAGTTCTATGAAATAACGTACAAAAGTTGTAATTATACCCGATTTGGCGTATTTTCTTCACTTATGATTTTTTTATAAAATATAAGATTAATTATTAATGCTGCAACGTAACGAACATCATTTGGTCCTTCAATATATTACAAAAATGCACAAGGATTCATTTCACCTTCATAAAGTAATACACATCGTAAAAACAAGATACATGTGCATGTACCAAGTTTTAAAAATTCATATGTCGTTTGCTGATATAATGTGATAAACACAAATTTATATTTTAATAATAGCAATGTTTTTATTCAAAATTTCTTATTTTTCGCTAAAATCTTTAATTTTATTATTTATAATATTAATGAACATAATTTTGGTAAGAAATTAATAGCTAATCTCCTTTTTGGAAAAATTTTGTGTTGCTTTTAATCTATTTGTCCAATTTTCAATAAGTATGTATAAGAATTTTTAAGGAAAAACGTAATTAAATGAAATTATAATTTAATTTGTAAAAGTGCTCTAATCTTTCTTTCCGAAATATCCATAAATAACATTAAGGTGAATTATTAGCACATTAAAAATGTAAGAATTATAATATCAATACATATCGTGTTTATTTACATTATTTGGACAATCCAATCCAATACCACTATTTTTTTGTGAAAATCTTTGAAATATATTTGTTCCAAAAATATTACTAGTACTGTTATTATTGACGACTGTTGTAGATTTTGGAATGATGTTTGTACTATTGTTACTATGATTAGGGGAAGAAGTTATCATCTGTAAATTAACACTTTCATATGGTGAAGAAGTTGTAGCTTTGGGAGGGAGTTTTAGTGAAACAGGACGGTCACAAATACAACGAAATTTATCACAGCGAGAACATAAAAGTGTTTTATCCAACTGAAAAAGCCATTTCAAAATTAAAAAAATAAAACATAAAAAAAAAAAAAAAAAAAATAAAAAATAAAACGTATTAATGTGTTACACAACTAATAAAATCTTCTGTGACATGAAAGGGAAAACACAAAATACAAACTTAAAAGTACATACATATTAATAAATTAATATTAAATAACTATATTTTGTTTTTGAACTATCTAAAAACTTTATCATATCACAGAAAACAATAATATGTTTTATACGTTTTTAATTCTAAAGCTAAAAATATCTTACATTAAGTTTTCTCAGCATGTCGGCTACAATATTAAGCGCAGTGGTTCTGGAACTAGCTGTCATGGCATTACCATTGAGCATATTTTCTGGGTCTGAAAAAAATTAACAATTCTATTTTTTCTGTTCTCTAGACTATTACTAAAACAAACAACTTTCCAATAAAATTTGACTACGCTACTTTTTTTTAACACTACAAAAAAAAAAAAACTTGAAACAAAACGTGCTCCTTACAAAGTACACAAAACATATATGTATATTTTTCAACTATAATAAAAGTGATGCAAATTTCGGGGAAGAAAATAATTTTATTTAAGTCATAGTTACATTTTTTAAGCAAAACAAAAATTAATATGTATTAAAAATTGTTAAATCAAAATTGTCTTTATTTTCAAGCAAAAATAAACTATTATGCAAAAATTAGAATCAAAATTTTTCCTTGTTTTTTACTTTCATTACATAGGGAATTGTATAAATTTTTAATGATTTGGCTTATTGAATTTTAAGGCACGTTTTGTTCGTTTTATTGATAATAAAACCTTACTTTTTAATGAATGTTGCCCATAGTCGCCAATACCTGTTGTGGATGAATTTGTGGCGATTGGCGGAGGTGTTTCTAATCCGCCATTTATGCTGTGCTCTAAACTGCCATTCATATTACTCGATGAAATACGATGTCGTACATTTAATTCCTGTTCCAAATCTAGAAGAGTTAATATATTTTGGTAGGTATATTATACATATTTTGGATTTTTATTTAAACGTATAGAAACATTACTACCTCTTCTTTCATCCATTAGTCTTTGCAATCTTTCTTTTAGTAGTTCTTTTTCATCACTTTCAAGAGCATTTTTTTCATATTCTTTATCTAACATTGTTTTTAAACTTGAAATACTTTCTAATAAAATTCTATGAGCGCGTTCGAGATCATCGTTTTTCTGTTCCAGTTGCCTCAGATATGATTTTAATGATTCTTTTTCAGATTGCGTTGTAGACAATTGTTTTTCTAATTCACTAAATTCTATACTATGGGAATCTGATTTTATCTAAAAACGAAGGTAATTTTATATTGCATATTATTAAAATATTCGAAATTCAATTGATATTAAAATTTTTAACCAAAAAGTTTAAGATTTTACCCTTAATGATTCATTTTCTTTTTCTAACTGAATGACTTGTTTCCGAAGATCTCTGACGGCAGTCTCTTTTTGTTCTAAAGTTGCTTCCATTTCTGCTTCCAATTGTCTGGAATCCTCAACAAATTCATCAAATTCTTGTTTGACATCTGTCCATCTACAAAAACGAAAAAGTTGTTTTGACAAAATTTGAAAAAAATTGCGACTTTTACTCTTTGTGATAAAGTTTTGCTCGTTCTTTCCAGTATCTGCATTCATCCTCGACGCTATTGAAAATAGGTGGCTGCTCCATTTCTTTACGTTTTGATATTTTTGATTTTTATAAATTTCCTAAAAAATTTGTATTTCTCATGAGTTTTATATTTCCACAAAAAAAAACTATAAAAAAATTTAAGATAATATTAGCACGATTAAAATTATATCTACGAAATTTTCTTTGTACTTGCGCATTTAAATTTGACAAACGATGAAATCATCATGCAAATTTACTTTAATTATATATCTAATGCCCAAATATTAAAATTTATGAAAATTAATACCTTTTTAAATAAGAAAAATGTAATATTCTAGCATTATTAATAAAAAAGAGTATATTCCTTCACTTACAAAATATAAACTTACTTTCTGCAATTTCCACAACTAATTTTTTTTTTGCTTTCTGCTTCTGACTTTTTTTTAACTGTTTTATTGAGCAAAGCTAGCATCGAGAGCTAGTCAAGAGCCAAAATATTGTCATTGTTGTCAAAATCAATTCCATTAAAAAGGACTCCGTACCAGGGTTACCACTCATAAAAAATTAATGGGATAAGTATTCAAAAAAAAATTCAAATTTAAACTAAAAAACCAAAATTGAAAAATTCTTAGTTAGTCACTAATTAATTTTCTTTGTCTAATTTCAACTTATTTTAAGTTTCAATGTTTTTCTTTCAAACTTTAGGAGTACTATGCACAATTTCATATTTTAATTTTAAGATATGCTACATTTTCATAATCATAAATTACTTTAAAAAAAAGGAAAATTGAAGTTTTTTTTTCAATATTTTAGAAATGACTAAATACAAAAAGTGAGCCGTGGGTCCAAAAAATTTTATAAAAAAAAAAAATGTGACAAAGCGGCAACTGCTTCGTGCCTTTTTGAATTTTTAATGCATTACTAGCCTTATGTAGTGCTTGCTAATGATGAGAAAGAAATGTAAAAATATTAAATTTATTGGAACTATGAAGCACTATGAAAATCAAAGTAAAGTGCTATGAAGAATCAAAAAGAGGGTGAATCATTAGTCATCTGTTTTTTTATTTTGGGCGTAAAAACATTTCTTGTGCTACCAGTCTATTAAAGTTGTAGGTCATATCACACTCATCACAGGTAAAAATCATTTTTGAAGTATGTCATATTTTGATAGTTTTTAATGTCAATTTTTTGACAATCTAAATCAAATCTGGAAGTTTGTCTTTGCTAGTTTGCTTGTTTCTTTTTACTATAAAATAATATATTGATTCGGAAAGAAGTGGTAATTTTTATTTAACATCTGCTAAGTATTGTTAAAAATAAATATGGCATCAGAAGCAGCGAAAGCACAGAAAAAGCAAGAAAAAATTATTGGAGATTTTCAGATATTAAGAAATGAACAAAGAAATTTAGCAAGCAAACTAACAACTTTGGAAATGGATTTAAAGGAGCACAAGTAATGATTATATTTCTAACCTAAAAAATTTGTTTATTGAAAGTTAATTTTAGAACTGTGATAGAAACATTAAAAACCGTGGATGAAGATAGGAAATGTTTTCGCCTAATTGGTGGAGTACTATGTGAAAGGAAAGTTAAAGATGTTCTGCCACAGTTAATTGAAAACAGAGATAATCTGGAAAAAACTCTTGAAATTGTTACGGATCAATTACATAAAAAAGGTATAGAACTCAATAATTTCAAAAAAGAACACAATATAAAAATTAGGGGGCAAGAACCTACAGCAAATGAGGAAAGTGAATCGAAAGATAAAACTGAAGAAACGAGTGAAATAAGCCGAAATGTTTTAGTTTCAAATTGATCTATGATACATATAATGAAGATTTAATATGGCATTTGCAACAACTACATATAATTTTTTTTTTGTTAATTTTATAAGTGCAGAAATGCGTTACTCTTTAATCGACTTATTATTTAACAACTAAATTTTGGACAAAAACATTATAAACACAATTTTGAAAAATGTGTAATAATTGCTTTATATTGAAATTAAATAAATACTTCAATGTAAAAAAGTTTTGAGCCCATTTATTGTAAAGAAATTCACTATTTATCTAAATTAAAATAAAAACTTACAGTCTTTATTTATGTTGCCTTAAATTTTGTTTAAAAAAGAGAAATACCTATGATGCCTAACCTATGCAATTTTATTCAACCAAAACTAACTTTTCCTATATGAACGTTTTCCACCAGATTTCGACAGCAGTTTGATACATTTAATTTCAATTTCATGAGATACCGCTTTGCACATATCGTAAATTGTTAATGATGCTATAGAAACGGCAGTAAGAGCCTCCATTTCAACTCCAGTTTTTCCATGACATTTTACAATAGCATATAATGTAATTTCATTCGTATTGTGTGGGTTTATTTCAGCTTTCACTTGCACAACTGAAAGGAAAATGTTATGACACAAAGGGATTAACTCAGATGTTTTTTTTGCTCCTAATACACCAGCTATTTCCGCTAGAGAAAGTACGTCTCCCTTTAATATTCCGTTTTCTTGAATTAATTTTGAGATCACGGGTCCAACGAATACAGTTGCCGTTGCTTCAGCAATTCTTTGAGTAGAATCCTTGTCGGATACGTCAACCATTTTAGCTTTACCCTCTGAATCAACATGAGATAAATTTGGAATGACTTGGAATTCATTTTTCTCTCGGTTTACTGGAGTAGATGATATAAAGCGTATTGCATTCAAATCCATGCTTCTAAACTGTGTTTTAAATTTTAAGTATGTTAAATTTCCAAATATTGTTTTGAAACTTGAGCAACATTTAAAAAATGTAAGATTTTGATTATCTGAAAGTAAAATTATATGTGTGTATTTTGTAATTGTGAAGAAAAATATAGATTGTGGATGTTTTTATAGAAAGAAAGTAGGGTAAAGTAATAACAAAATTTTTTTCAACTTCGAAATAAATTTTAAATCCATATTAAAATATGATTTTAACTATTAATTTAAAGTGTTATTTAATAGAGCCTTGAAATTTTTATTGAGAGGTAGTCTTCGTACATAAAACATATTGCATGATCTATGTATAACATAATTTATTTAATTATATTATATTATAATATTGTTTAACACATAAATTCAAACGAAAAAATTTGTTCATACATAAGATTTCTTAATAAATCTTAAGTGATTTGAAAGTGAAATTTTCGATGTTGTACAATATAGAACAGATGTATGACGCACCTAATTTAATAGGTTTATACTATAAGCTACTATAGAAAATTCTATTATTCATTTTGATAACTATTGGAAAAAGTTTAAATATTTTTCTAAATCCATTTCGAAAATGGTCAAAATATAACTAACCTTATTTATGTAATAATAACGAAACTTAAACATTGTTGCAAATATAAATTATCCCCCAATTAATATCATTGGTCGATTTTTCATTTGAGATAAATTCAGCATGCCTACAAATATATAAAAAAAAAATTATTACATTGGTAAAAATATTCAACAATATGATAATGAGCAGGCATTGAGAAGTAGCATATCTTTTTTAATTGTACGTTTCACTTTTGCTAGACACTCTTTTAATATTTTTCCTTTTCTAAATAATCTTCTTTTTGGGTTTTTCAGAATGAAGTGTTTGATGAAATGTAATGTTATAACTTTAGAGATTTAAGAATGAATAACAGTTGAAATACATATACGTATCGGCATACATATTTGAAAGAGTTTAATATTTTTCTCACCTGCATGCTGTTTCTTTTTTCTTTGGACTGCACTTGAAATTAAGGAAATCAAATCATGTTCAGGCATATTACTTCTAATAGCTTCTAGTAACGAAATTTCTTTGTTTCCAAACAGACAAACCTTTAAATTTCCATCAGCTGTCAGCCGTAATCTGTTACATGTTCCGCAGAAATGTTCGGTCATGGATGTTATAAATCCTACTTGGCCTATGTAACCAGGTACTTTGTAAGCTTTTGAGGTATCGTTTTTACCGTTTTCAAGAGCATAAAAATCGGGCCATCTTTGCTCTATAATATTTAGGGCCCTCCTATATATGTAAACATTATATCAAATAAAAAAGTTCGTCATTAACGAAAGTGTACGTATGTTTGTACATGTGTATGTTTGTTATTATGCATATCTTACCGAAATGGTACCATATTATCTGTTTGCCACTTATTTCCTGAAAATGGCATATATTCAATAAAGCGTACATCAATTTTTCTATCTTCAGTGAATGCAACAAAATCGCAAATTTCATCTTCATTGAAATTTTTCATTAAAACGCAATTAATTTTTGGTTTATACCCCAGTTGTATTGCCAGATCAATTCCAGCTATTACTCTTTCCCAACCCTTTCTTCTTGTAATTTCTTCATATTTTTTTGAGTTCAAAGTATCAAGGCTAATATTAATTGAGTCTAATCCAGCTCTTTGCATTGGTACAAGCAAACGCGTTAATACTAAACCATTAGTCGTTATTCCGACATTGCTTAATTTTGGAATTTCTTTTAATTTCGCAATAATATCTACAATGTCTTTTCTAACTGTTGGCTCACCACCCGTTAGACGAATTTTGTTTACTCCATTTTTAACAAAAATTTTTGCTAAATATAACATTTCTTCTGTAGTTAGTAAATTTTGATTAGCGGTTAATTTTACTCCTTCTGCTGGCATACAATATTTACCTAGGGGATAACGATTATTAATCATAGTCAATTCATTGAATTGCCCGTCTTATTAAATATTTTAAAATACATAATATGTTTAGGTAAGTAGATATCTTATGAGTAAAGAAACATCGAAACTTTCACTTTATATTATTTATATTTCATTAGATTTTTCCAAAAACAAGTTTACCTCAACCTCTCTTAAGTAAATAAGTACATGTGTATGTACTATGTACTTCATCGTACAAGTCAAGTATGCACTCTATTTTAGCATTTGCCATATTTTTTATCTACATACATATTTTATTTAAATTTAAGCCACGTTTGGTGATGTCACCTTAATATAATTTTAATTATAGAAGAATATAGTAGGTATATTCTTAAAAAGAAAATGCGAAGTCACTGTGTTTTGTAATACTTACATCTTAAATTACATTTTTCAGATAACGAAATCCTTAAATATGTATGATATCTTCCAAAAGTGTCAGTTAGTGCGGATTTTTCTAGCTAAAAATACAATAATTTTTTGTTTTTGAAAACGTACTTTTATTTTCTTATCATTTCACTTTCATGTATAGGACATACTGACCTTTTCATTCAACTTTCTGTTACTTGTTTTATGTATCTCTAATTTTTCAATGGTTGTATTAACTTGGAAATCTGTTTTCTTTGAATATTTACATATTGATAAAAGTTGCACTGTAAAATATTTCTTTTTAAGAAAATTATTAAACATTTTGCAATGGAAACCATATATTTTTAATCACTTAAATCTGAATTGCGATGGTGCTTATTTACAAAATATAACCCAATTTGACACTGTATTCCGAAGTTCAGGTGATTCAGACAGAAAGATAAACAATAAACACAAACTTGTATCTATTTATTAATTTAAAGCAGAAAATAACTTAAAGCTTTTAAAAATGGCAATATTATTTTAGCTTTATTAAGCTTTCCAAATAAAGAGTCAAATCATTGTTATCAGCTAAGGTGCTGTTTTTATAAAGTGTTAGATATTTAAAAGTAAAAATTTATGTTACCCAGCATTTACACATACAAGTTACTTGCATGCAAGTTTGTATAATATTAATTGTCAATTAGTTTTTCGAAATGTCAAATTACTTGCTATTATGACGTAGGCGTTTAGCAAGTTAATTTTTGAAAATGTCTTTGAGAAGAAAACAACTAGCAATATATATAATTGTTTATAAATTTTAGAAACCATAAGTTTGCTAAGTTTAATTTTTTCAAAACAAAATTCAAAAATTTTAAATTAAAAAAAAAAAAAAATCAAAACAAATTTTTTTTTGTGAATTTCTCAATATGTCAAATTACTTGCTCAAATTACTGGCAGCAAAATTTTCTTGCAAGTTGAACTGCAAGTAAACAAGCAAGTAGAAATATTTCAATGTGTTAGTAAAATTTTTGTATGTATTGCAACTTTCTTGCAAGTAACTTGTACGTGTAAATGCTGGGTTAGATGTTTAAATTTGAATAAGAGCGCATTTATAATGTTTGCAGCTTTTACTTGATATTCGTTTTGTGCAGGTTAAAGTAAATAAACGATTGCAATTGTTGTTTTGGATCAACATCACGTTATTTTGTAAAAAAGCTGAATTTTAATTTTTTTATTGAAATGTAGCAAATAATAATAAAATTAATACAAAATTTTATACAAACTTTTAATTTGAAAAACAAAAATTGATTTTAAAACATTTGAAATTTTTGAAAAGAAAAACTACAATTTTCTATTAGGAAAAACAAAAAAAAATCTAGTAATCAAAAAATTTTTTCGAAACTTTTCTTGGTAAAAAAAAATGGTAGGTTTTTTATTTTCGCCAGTTTTTATAAGAAATAGTACCTATATGGTTAGAAATTTTTAAATGCATTTTTCTCAAATTGGGTGCAATTTAAAAATTTAAAAAAAATATTTTCGCAATCTAGACACCATTTGGCGTCTGAAGTTATTAAAATTATCCAGCTGGAGCGAAATTTTAAAGACATGCCATACAAATTTTGACATTTATTCTAATAGAATTTTTTTTTAATAGAAAAATTTGATTTTTTTACACAAAATGGAGTTTGTAAATTATATGGTAGGTATATTATGAAGTAAATAAATAATTAATAAATAATTTAATGGGATTAATAAATTTTAAGCAAATTTCTACAAAAAATTAAAATTGGCGTACGGCTGATGCAACTATAGAGGGGTTCTATGTAAGCAAATAATTTCAAATATGCGATTGAATAGAAATGGATTTCTTAGAAAAAAAAACATACATAAATATTTGAGAATTAGCTGAATTTTTTAAGAAAATCTGGTGTTTGTCTTGAGAAATTTGTAAAATTTTTGGGTAATGATAAGGTATTTTTCCAAATGTTTTGATAACGGAATATTAAACTGAATCTAATTTTAGTTTTAGCAACCTCTTAATTTTAATTGAATATTTGGCTCACAATATTTTTGGTGTTTGTGCTATATCTTCTGTACCATAAAGAATTTTTTAATGTTTGAGGGCTTAAATTTAAGCTTAAGCAGCTGGACAAAATTATATAAAAAAAATTTCAAGTTTTCGAAAAACTGAAAATATAAAACAAGGGAAAAATTTGATTTTGCCTAAAGTTCGAGTGCTTTGTATTCCGAAGATACATAAAATACAGAATCGAGCAACATGTTTATTTTAAGCCCTTTACTAGGCCATTGAGAAACTGTTTGTTTGAAGTTCCCATCTTTTTCAGAACGGAAGTTATAATCAAGAAAAATTGGATAAGTAAAAATTTTGTGAAAATTCGTTAAAATCCCTGGAATTTGGAATCCCTTGAGATTTGGCATCCAGTCCGGAACAAATGTTTTACCCATTTTCGATCATCTAACCAATAGTATATGTTGTTGTATACTTTTCTGAATCACCCTGTATAAAGTCTATACATTTTTTAAAAATCATAAAAGGAGAAAATCAGAGTTACTTTCTTTACGCGGCAGCCTTATATTTATCAGGGCAGTATTTCAATAGAAAATAAATTGAGGAAAACATATGAATTATATCGAAGTTAACCCGATAGAAGCAGTTCGGAAAGATTTTTAATGCGTTGGCCTTATACTTTTCAGGGCAATGCTCTCATCGTAGCACATCGAAAAAAAAATAACAAAAATTTTCAAGAAATTTCGATTTAAAAAAAAAACTATAATTCTGACTTAATGAGCTTTATTTCGAAAATTATGGCTTAAATCAAATAGATTGTAAGACCGAAAATAAAGGGCAATCAATCTGTTGTATGGTCCCGAAGTTATAAGTATTTATTTATATGCAGGAAAAGTTCGGTCGTTTTTTTTTAACATGCTGTATCTCGAAAACGAGTACAGATCCGAAACGAGTACAGATAACGAATCCGCACCCCACACGTTTTTTTGCTTGCAATTAATCAAAGAATAATCTCTGACATTATTTGCCTTCTTATGTGAAACACCCTGTATGTTAGATCCATACATACCACATAATAAAAAATATACAAAATTATGTATCAATATATTATATAATATCAGTTCTTATCACGTAATTGCTGAAACAGAATCATATATGTGTGTGTTTCTAATACAATATTATTTTGATCAAACCCAACTTCCACCCGTATTATGCTTATGTACATAGCAGCGATTTTCAACCTTTTTTACATAACGACACTCAATATTCTATTTATTTTCTACAGCTGCGCACTTTCAACGCATAACATAAAATGTTTAAGATAAGTATAATAATATTTAGTGAATAATAGGTACTCTTCTGTCAATTTTTTAGTTTTAGAAATGTTAAAATCCAAACGAAAATGTTATACACATTAATGTGTATTATATTTTTACTTTTTATTTGATTTGAAAATTTTACGAAATATGGATTGGAAATAAAACTAAAACAAATATGCAAATTTTTATTTCCATGTAAAATACTCACTCAGAGCTTGCACGGTGCACGCGGTTCTCAGTTTAGAAAATATGTTTTGGCATATAAAAAATATGTAAAATATAAACATAAGAACTTTCATAATTATAAATATGTATATGCACATACAAACAAGAATATATCGTTTAGATACTTGTAAACATGCGTAAATAAATATAGTGAAGAAGAAGCCGTTTTTTGATGCCGCTCGTTGTGGCTCATTACCTTAATCAGTAGATTATTTATGTTTTGTCATCTTTTATCGCCAAATTTATTTATGAAACACGAGCAAAACATAATTTTTTTTGTTCTTCTTCCTTCAGTTTTAGTTGCTTTTGTTCATGAAATTTTGCTTTTTTTATTTTTTGGAATAATTAAGAAAACCTCTTTTATAATATTTTATAGTATAGTTCCGTCAAAGTAAACTTTTACTTTAAGCTTCGTTACATCATTTAGTTTTCCGTTTTTTAATTCGATTAAATTAAGGCAATTACGGTCGCAAGACATTGTTATTTTTTACTTATACAGAAATTGAGAAGCTTCTTGTTGAAAAAACGTTGTTAAAAATTTGAAAAAAAAAAAAAATTTATATAACGGTTAATTTTAACGGTTATTTTGTCATTGTAGTGCATGCCTATGTTGTTTCACAGTTTTTTAATTTATAAAATTTAATTGTAAAAAAAAAGTGGAATATTTCGGACTTGCATAGGCCGTAACTCTATTTTTGTGTATAAAACTTTCACTTTCTAACTTAACGGAAACTAACAGACGGAAAGTACCTTTTTCCCAAATTTTTTCTTTTTATATATGTGCTAAATTAAGTTTCTTATGTATTTTCGAACTTTAACTTTAAAATTTAATCAAATATTTAGTTTGTGGATAAGTATAAGATTTTGTGCTTAAAATAAAAACTGAAATTTTCTAGAAAAAAAAAGTTTCAAATTTTCTTGAGTCCACTGTAAATTTATGAATAATAATGAAATGTACGTATATAATATGTACGTAAATAAGTAAATAGATGCGAGTATAGTTAATACGAATACATACATATATATGCAAAAATATGTATGGGTATAGGGAGGAATAAATTGTATTTAAATTTGAATTGATATTAAAAATTGTATTAAAATTGTGTACGAACGAAAATTATGTATGTATATATTAGTGGTTTTTACTTTTGTTTTCACATTTTTGTTTTTAGTGTATAAATAAATAATCAATGCCTTTAAAAGTCTGGCGCCGCCTCATTAATTAAATGATCACTGATTAGGGGAAATCAGGAGATTCCCATGAAAGTAAAGAATTGAACTATAGCAATTATAAATATAAGTTACCAAATTCAATTAGTGAATAATACTTTTTAAATATTTGGTTAATAGACATTAAAATCAACTAGATTAAAAAGTTCATACACTTTATGTATATGCAATATATTAATGTACCTGTAAAAATGAGTAAATTTTTATTACATTACAAATTACTATAATCAAAAATTTCAATTGAATCCATTAATTGTATTAAACAGTCTATGACTTGTGCTATAATGATTTTGTAGCCTGTGAGAGCTTCAATATTGTAGTAATATTGTTATATAATATTATATGTACATATATAATTCAGGTATATCAACTCATATCATAAGTAATTTTTAAGCATTTGCTTAATCAATTAAGGGATCAAATGAATATTTGATCCCTTTCACCATTTATTTACCATTTTTTAAATAAAATTTGACAAAGCTTAGATGAGATAAATTGTAGTCTGTAATATTACAAAATTGCAATAATAATTTATATTAGTATAAAATTCAACTCAGTTAATTTTATTTTCTGAAATCCATGTACTATAATGCGGTATTAATGAAATTTAAAAGTTAAGGTATATTTAAAAT